TGCGCTGTTTTACATATCTCTCGCTCCCGTCAAATTTCAGCAATCCCGCTTTCGCCACACTTGCCCAACAGAACAGCATTCATTTCCAGGTCCACGAGGTTCAGCTTGCTTCTGCTCGGTATGCAGTGGTTGAGTCAGTTCACACCGTTAAAAATTCTCGTCTGATGCCGAGCCGACATCGTTGGTGTCGCGAAGTGGCCAGCCCAGGACAGGAATTGCCCGATATTTGCATCGAGTGAAATCGCGATCAAGAACGGTCGAATAAGAGCATACAACGGTTCACCTGTGAACTAGTTCCCAATTGAAAGATGGTTTGACATTTCCGCTCGGCTTGGGGGTGCCTTGCCCATCACGCAGTCGTCTTCCCGCCTAGCATATCAGCCCCGATCGACCGCACTTTCGAGACCCGATTCCCGATCCGCGCCGACTGCTTCCGACTCTCATCCCATTACTGACGAAGGAATAAACACGCGGCCGCCGTTCGTGATAACAAGTAGGGTTTCATGGTAGTGGCGTCGTGATGTCTAGTACGTCGTTTCGTCAGACCGCGGCGCGGGAAATCGTGAGCTTGCTGCTGCAGCGGGAAACACGGGAGGCCGAGGATAGAAGTGTCGATAGATCTCCTTCGTCCACTCGGCACCGGATTCTGCCCGAACCGTTCGATACGTTGCGTGAAGTCTCGAGGGAGGTGGAAGGGGAACCGTTTCAAGATGTTGAAATGAGAGAGAGCACAGATGGATACCCGAGAACGAGGGAGAGGGAGAAGGATAGTAGGGAGGCGGGGGAACTGGAAACGGATAGAGAGCATTTGGCGGCTGTGATCGATGAGGAAACTCCCCTAGTTGCTCCACTCGTTAGCGGGGATGCGATGGCACTGGGCACCGGGAGCGACGGAAACGGAGGAGCCAGAGGAGCAGCGAGGCTAGGAGGAATGCGGGAAATGTCTATGAATAGAGGTGGAAAGGTACGAGACGGGTTGAGCTGTCTAGATGTGACCGGGAATGAAGAGGAGGCGGACAAGGAGGACCAACCGCAGTGCAGAATCTGCCTGGAGAGTGATGGTGCGTAGCCACTTATCCCTGCAAAACCCCTTTTATTAGAATTCTCAAGAAACACATTCATTATGTCGGAAAGTGCCACGTGTGTGTTTCAAGCATGTATGTGTTTTAGGCATACATGTGTTTTACTCAGGCATGTGTTTTATGTGTTTCAGGCAAGCATGCGATTCAGGAATGAATGAGATCCAGGAATGCATGAGATTCATGCATGCATATGCTTCATGCATGCATGTGCTTCAGACATGCATGTGCTTCAGGCATGCCTGTGCTTCAGGCATGCATGACATTTTCCAATACATACATACTGCTTTCAACTCCTCACTCCTCCCACCCGGCGGGTCTGGACTGCGTCACCCCCTGCAGCTGGTCAAAGGCTCCTTTGAAATCATTCTTTGCTCAAAACGCGTACGCATGCCCATTGCGGCCCCATCCCCGTCCACTCAGGTCGGGACCTCATCGCCCCATGCAGGTGCAAGGGCTCGGCGCGGTTCGTGCACCGGCACTGCCTGGACCAATGGCGGGCCACCAAGGAGGGATTCGCCTTCTGCCACTGCTCCACGTGCAAGGCTCGCTTCCAGCTGCGCGTGTGCCTGCCGCCCGACCTGAGATGCCGCCATCTCAAATTCAGATTTTTTGTTGCGAAGGATATTGTGCTCGTAACGCTGCTGGTGCAGATGGTGAGTTTTGCCTCTGCGCCTCTTTTGAAGCGCCACCCTCAAAGGGCAAGGAGGGATTCGCCTTCTGCCACTGCTCCACGTGCAAGGCTCGCTTCCAGCTGCACGTGTGCCTGCCACCCGACCTGAGATGCCGCCATCTCAAATTCAGATTCTTTGTCGCGAGGGATATTGTGCTCGTAACGCTGCTGGTGCAGATGGTGAGTTTTTCCTCTGTGCCTCTTTCGAAGCGCCTCCCTCAAAGGGCACTCTCTTGCACCACCCCTTGGCCTGTCCCGTACCAAGATGAAGTGTCCCCGTACTTTTCTCTTTTTCTTTCTTTATTTCTTTCTTTTTTTCCCATCCCGTTTTTCTCTCTTCGTTCTTTATTCTCTCACACGCAATCCCTTGCACCTCCTTCAGCCTTTTCTACCCTTCTCCCCTCCTCTATTTCCTTCGAAATCACCAGCTGATAATCTGCTTCGGCTACACTGCCTACGTGGCGGATTACTATTGGTTCGACATGGGGTTTCAGAAAACATGGGCCAGTCAAAGCCCTGCAACCTTCTACTACATCTGCGGTGAGAGAGGCTGTGGTGCATGCAAACAGGCATGTGTGCTGTTCGTGTGTCACTTTTGCGCAAAGCCCAGCAACCTTCTACTACATTTTTGGTGAGAGGGGCTGTGGTGCATGCAAACAGGCATGTGTAGTGTTTGCGTGTCGCTTTTCTGAACAAAGCACATCAACGTTCTAATACATCTGTGGTGAGAGGGGCTGTGGTGCACAGCAACGTTCTAATACATCTGTGGTGAGAGGGGCTGTGGTGCACAGCAACGTTCTAATACATCTGTGGTGAGAGGGGCTGTGGTGCACAGCAACGTTCTAATACATCTGTGGTGAGAGAGGCTGTGGTGCACAGCAACGTTCTAATACATCTGTGGTGAGAGAGGCTGTGGTGCACAGCAACGTTCTAATACATCTGTGGTGAGAGAGGCTGTGGTGCACAGCAACGTTCTAATACATCTGTGGTGAGAGAGGCTGTGGTGCACAGCAACGTTCTAATACATCTGTGGTGAGAGAGGCTGTGGTGCACAGCAACGTTCTAATACATCTGTGGTGAGAGAGGCTGTGGTGCACAGCAACGTTCTAATACATCTGTGGTGAGAGAGGCTGTGGTGCACAGCAACGTTCTAATACATCTGTGGTGAGAGAGGCTGTGGTGCACAGCAACGTTCTAATACATCTGTGGTGAGAGAGGCTGTGGTGCACAGCAACGTTCTAATACATCTGTGGTGAGAGAGGCTGTGGTGCACAGCAACGTTCTAATACATCTGTGGTGAGAGAGGCTGTGGTGCACAGCAACGTTCTAATACATCTGTGGTGAGAGAGGCTGTGGTGCACAGCAACGTTCTAATACATCTGTGGTGAGAGAGGCTGTGGTGCACAGCAACGTTCTAATACATCTGTGGTGAGAGAGGCTGTGGTGCACAGCAACGTTCTAATACATCTGTGGTGAGAGAGGCTGTGGTGCACAGCAACGTTCTAATACATCTGTGGTGAGAGAGGCTGTGGTGCACAGCAACGTTCTAATACATCTGTGGTGAGAGAGGCTGTGGTGCACAGCAACGTTCTAATACATCTGTGGTGAGAGAGGCTGTGGTGCACAGCAACGTTCTAATACATCTGTGGTGAGAGAGGCTGTGGTGCACAGCAACGTTCTAATACATCTGTGGTGAGAGAGGCTGTGGTGCACAGCAACGTTCTAATACATCTGTGGTGAGAGAGGCTGTGGTGCACAGCAACGTTCTAATACATCTGTGGTGAGAGAGGCTGTGGTGCACAGCAACGTTCTAATACATCTGTGGTGAGAGAGGCTGTGGTGCACAGCAACGTTCTAATACATCTGTGGTGAGAGAGGCTGTGGTGCACAGCAACGTTCTAATACATCTGTGGTGAGAGAGGCTGTGGTGCACAGCAACGTTCTAATACATCTGTGGTGAGAGAGGCTGTGGTGCACAGCAACGTTCTAATACATCTGTGGTGAGAGAGGCTGTGGTGCACAGCAACGTTCTAATACATCTGTGGTGAGAGAGGCTGTGGTGCACAGCAACGTTCTAATACATCTGTGGTGAGAGAGGCTGTGGTGCACAGCAACGTTCTAATACATCTGTGGTGAGAGAGGCTGTGGTGCACAGCAACGTTCTAATACATCTGTGGTGAGAGAGGCTGTGGTGCACAGCAACGTTCTAATACATCTGTGGTGAGAGAGGCTGTGGTGCACAGCAACGTTCTAATACATCTGTGGTGAGAGAGGCTGTGGTGCACAGCAACGTTCTAATACATCTGTGGTGAGAGAGGCTGTGGTGCACAGCAACGTTCTAATACATCTGTGGTGAGAGAGGCTGTGGTGCACAGCAACGTTCTAATACATCTGTGGTGAGAGAGGCTGTGGTGCACAGCAACGTTCTAATACATCTGTGGTGAGAGAGGCTGTGGTGCACAGCAACGTTCTAATACATCTGTGGTGAGAGAGGCTGTGGTGCACAGCAACGTTCTAATACATCTGTGGTGAGAGAGGCTGTGGTGCACAGCAACGTTCTAATACATCTGTGGTGAGAGAGGCTGTGGTGCACAGCAACGTTCTAATACATCTGTGGTGAGAGAGGCTGTGGTGCACAGCAACGTTCTAATACATCTGTGGTGAGAGAGGCTGTGGTGCACAGCAACGTTCTAATACATCTGTGGTGAGAGAGGCTGTGGTGCACAGCAACGTTCTAATACATCTGTGGTGAGAGAGGCTGTGGTGCACAGCAACGTTCTAATACATCTGTGGTGAGAGAGGCTGTGGTGCACAGCAACGTTCTAATACATCTGTGGTGAGAGAGGCTGTGGTGCACAGCAACGTTCTAATACATCTGTGGTGAGAGAGGCTGTGGTGCACAGCAACGTTCTAATACATCTGTGGTGAGAGAGGCTGTGGTGCACAGCAACGTTCTAATACATCTGTGGTGAGAGAGGCTGTGGTGCACAGCAACGTTCTAATACATCTGTGGTGAGAGAGGCTGTGGTGCACAGCAACGTTCTAATACATCTGTGGTGAGAGAGGCTGTGGTGCACAGCAACGTTCTAATACATCTGTGGTGAGAGAGGCTGTGGTGCACAGCAACGTTCTAATACATCTGTGGTGAGAGAGGCTGTGGTGCACAGCAACGTTCTAATACATCTGTGGTGAGAGAGGCTGTGGTGCACAGCAACGTTCTAATACATCTGTGGTGAGAGAGGCTGTGGTGCACAGCAACGTTCTAATACATCTGTGGTGAGAGAGGCTGTGGTGCACAGCAACGTTCTAATACATCTGTGGTGAGAGAGGCTGTGGTGCACAGCAACGTTCTAATACATCTGTGGTGAGAGAGGCTGTGGTGCACAGCAACGTTCTAATACATCTGTGGTGAGAGAGGCTGTGGTGCACAGCAACGTTCTAATACATCTGTGGTGAGAGAGGCTGTGGTGCACAGCAACGTTCTAATACATCTGTGGTGAGAGAGGCTGTGGTGCACAGCAACGTTCTAATACATCTGTGGTGAGAGAGGCTGTGGTGCACACCTCACTCCTGCCTCAAACCCCCCACACCAACCTCCCGCTTCTACTTTCTCATTCAACGCCTGTCTCACTCTCGCTGCAAGTGCATGTTACGTTTCACTACTTGACCGCTGCGTGTGTTCATGCCGAGTCCCAACCAGGCGTGCTGCTTTTCCTCGTATCTGCTGGTCTGCTCGGTGCCGTTTTGACGTGTGTTTCACTACTTGACCGCCTCCCATCGTTTTAATACGTGTTTTCATGCCTTGTCCCAACCAGGCGTGCTCTTCTTCCTCGTATCCGCGGGTCTGCTCGGTGCCATCATGACGTGTGTTGATCGGCGCTTTCGCAGCGACCTTGCAGCTCCCTGCAGGGACCTGGGCGCGTGCTGCTGCGACCCCCTGTGAGTGGTTATTTTGGCTCCCCAGAAAATAATCCTAGCTTCTCGCTGCAGGGACGTAAGATCATGCTGCTGCTGCGTCCCGCTGTATGTGCACTTTCTGGAGGGCCTAAGGAATGGATCTAGTTGCCCATGCCTTAGCGACCTTGCACCTCCCTGCAGAGACCTGCGCGCATGCTGCTGCCACCCCCTCTGAGTGGTTTGTTTCGGCTCCTTAAGAAATTATACTAGCTGCTCCCTGCAGAGTCCTTGGCGAGGGCTGCTGTGACCCACTGTGAGTGCACTTTCTGTAAGGTCTAAGGAGTAGATCTAGCTGCTCCCTGCCAGTGGACGCTTAGCTTCTCCCTGCAGGGACCTGGGGGCCTATTGCTGCGACCGCCTGTGAGTTGTTTTTATCGGCTCCCCAAGAAATAGACCCAGCCACTCCCTGCAGAGACCTAGCAGCACCCTGCAAAGACCTAGCAGCACCCTGCAAAGACCTGGGCGCGTGCTGTGCTGTGAGTTCCCCTCTGAGGCCTGCTGCGATCCACATGTGTGCAAACGGTTTCTCAACCCACTCTTTTCATCCCCATTCTTTTATGTACAGCATTTCCTTCCTCCCCCATCCCAGCGTGTGTGGCAGCTGTGACTGCCACGTGGCACCCATCTGTCTCTACTCAGACTGCTCCGGCTGCTCTTTCTGCTTCTCCGGCTGTAGCGACTGTGCCGCTGCCATAGGAGGATGCTCTGGGGAGGCAGGGCTTTTTATCCTGCTGACAGTTGGCGCGATCCTATTGGTTGTGCTAGCTCTGGTGGGGGTGCTTTACTGCTTGCTGGTCTCGACCCTGGTGGTACAGCGGATATGGCAGCGGCACTATCACGTCCTCGCTAAGAGGATCCTCACTAAGGTACTTTTCCACCAGCTCACTCTGTGGATATGGCAGCAGCGTTATCACATCCTCGCTAAAAGGATCCTCACTAAGGTACTTGCTCACTTCCATGCAGCGCGTTTTTGGCAAATGCCTGTAGAACAATTTGTTGCTATTCAGCTGCACCAACTCTTTAATTTTGGGGCCTTGCGATGTGACTTACAATGTCTATCACTGCTGCCTCTGTATCTCCTTGTCTTCCTCGTCCTCTGCACTTCCCTCTATGCCCTTCCCTCCGTGCCGTTCCGTCCATGCCCTATCCAGGAATTTATTGTGGAGGATTTGTCTGGAATGTCTCTCCCTCCTGATTGGTCGCCACCGCCACTGCTGCCCGAGCACGAAAAGCAGCTTAGGGATTTGAGGCTACTCTGATTGTGCACGAACCAGGTGCTTCATCAATGCGGGAGGCAGCTCTGTCTGTGCCTCATCTTGTGCTACTGATGCCCCTCTGTAATTTCGGTTGTAAAGATGTCAGCAGCTTCTTTGCCTGTACAGTGTGACCCGTTGTAGGTGATGCTCTTTGAAAGAAAGCACCCTTTTGAAGGCACACAAGGCAAACATAAATAACACAAAGCCTGTACTGTGGAACTGGGTGTGTGGAGTGGATCACAGCAACTTCTGAGCCAGCCAGCCAAGCGAGCAGCGCAGGAAACTGCATGATGACTTGCCCTGAGGTCCAGGGTCCATGTGGGGGTGTGCTGCTGCTGCCTGGAGCAGCCATACTCACCAGGGGCTCACTGCATGGGGGATGGTACTATGCGAAGGCAAGCAATAGAAGAGAGAATGCAAGCAGCACAGGGCACACTGCAACGACTACATGTTCTGAGACATATGTGGAGGCCTGCTGCTCCTTAGACGAGCCACGTCCCCAGAGGCTCCCTGCATAGGAAATCGGATGATAGCTTGTGCTGTTTTACAAAATTTTAAGAGGCACTCTTACGTTGAAGTGGATGGTAACGAGGATGGCCTGGAGGGACGCTTCCTCACCCCATTCCATCCAACCCAACCAAGCAGGGCAGTCAAGCACGATAAATTTCTCCCAAACTAGAAAAACGGGTAGAAAGCTGCAAGCTCGGTTCGACCGACCTAACTAATCTTGAGTAGTAAAAATCACTAAGTACTAGGCGAGACACGTGTAGGTAAACGCAGTGTATTAAAGGCAGATTACAAGAGGTTCAGAAATCGAACGCGCGTTTCGGCTTTTTGGGCCTTCATCGGCGTTTCCGAATCCTACTAAACTTGCCCTCTACCTAACATCCACTATTTGTACCTAGCAGTTCCGTGTCTCGTAAGAAACCTAGCACAAAGATTCAGACATTGCACACAACATTGCTTGGCGCCTCGTCTGTCTTGATGGGTCGCGCTTCGTCCGTCTTGATGGGTCGCGCTTCCAAACAGTAAAGCTGGCAAGTAAGTTCCGTCTTGTCATGCAGCGGTTACCTACCTGGCAGAGAAATTGAATCACATTGCTTTCTTGAGGAGAATCTCGCTTTAACCAAAAAGTTATGTAACTTTTTTGGTAACTTCCAAGCGAGTAAAAAACGAGGAAAAGGGAGATCATATGATACGAGCTGGTTTTTGAGAATTCTCAAAAACTGCCCCATGCCCATGCCCAACGTGCGTTGACAGCGTCTGATTTTAAGAGCAAGGGGCGCTCCCATCCTCTCCAACTGCTTGTTTTTTGAACAAGAGTGGTTTCTGAGCAGTGAAGCTCTTTGTCCATGTTTGATCTTCTCAAACAGAGGGATAAGAAACTTCTGGGGATAACCTCTAGCCTTCAGCCGTTTGAAGAAGGCCACTTTCCTTTCCAAATAGGAGTGGAAAGAGGAGGACCTTAAGCAATGCCTTTTCAGCTCACTCGAGATGAAACCTTTCTTACATTCCTTTGAATGAAAGGAGGAGTAAGGCAGGTAGAGATACTGGTTATGGGGCTTTTGATAAGTCCTCACATCCAGAATGTTACTGACTTTGAATCTCTCTCCTTTGTAAAGAGTGAGGTCAAGAAAATCAAGTGAATTTTCACTGATTTCCCAAGTCAGTTTGATAGTGTGATGAAGAGTATTGAAAATCTCCAAGTATTGTTGGAGACTCTCTTTACCCCTATCCCACAAAATCAAGCCATCATCAATATACCTCAAATGTACCAGAGGCCTATGGGGAGCTCTTCTATCCACCTCCTCGTCCAGCCAACTCATAAACAGGGTGGCGAAGACGGGGGCAACAGGAGTCCCCATGGCTGTACCTTGTACCTGTTGGTAAACTACTCCATCAAACTGTACAAATGAATGAAACATCACCCATCTAAGAAGTCTAACAATAAGAGGCCGTAATGGATGATTCTCTCTGAAAAGAAAACGATCCACTGCTTCAATCCCTTGAGGTAATGGAATGGAGGGATATAAACTCTGCACATCATATGTACAAATGAAGATGTCCTGAGGTAGAACCATATCTTCAATCTTCATGAGAAGAGACAAGCTATCCTTCAGGTATGTCCTCCGTTTTTCCAGTAACGGTCGCAGCTGCGAGTCTAACCACTTGGATGCTGTAGTGGTCACCCAGGAATGAGATGCTGCAATTGGTCTACCCACCGGTACTCTCTTATGCATCTTCATCAGTATGTAAAAGAAAGCTGGTTTCCATCCTCCCACCGGTGGAGACACTAGATATTCCCATGTTCTCTTGGATAAGCAAGGAGAGAACTCGTGCTTAACCAAAGAAAACTTTGACAAAATTTCTGTCATGGGAATCCCCTTCACTTCACGGTAAGTCGACGTGTCCTGTAGCTGTCTAAGACACTCAGCTCTGTAGTCTGTAGCATCCATGATGGTAATGCCAACATTTTTGTCTGCTGCTTTTATCACAATGGATGAGTCTGCTGTCAACCCTTTCAAGGCTTGTCTCAATTTGAAAGGCAAGTTTGACAGTCTCCTGGGCTGTACTTCAAGCAGAATCTGTTGAAGACCCCCTCTGTTTCTGTCCATCACCTCCTCCAGCCTCACATTACGCTGCTGCTGTGGAACATCCCACGAGGAGTTGGGAATTCTAAACGTTTTTCGCTCAGCTGTATCTTCCCCAAAGAAATTCTTCAACCGTAATCGCCGGCAGAATCGGTCAAACTCCTGTACCATCTCTTGATCCGAGGTAAACTGTCTCCTACTTGGGACCGGGACAAAATTAAGTCCCAAGCTCAACACCTTTTCTTCTTCAGGTGTCAGCTTCCGTGAGCTCAGATTGAAAATGCGCTTATTGGAAACACGTCTTCTCAGTTGTGACTCTGTCATCTGCCCAAAGTAATAAAGGGCTAAGTCACGGTCACTTAGCGCACTTAACCTCTCCCCCATGGGTTGCCTCTTCCTCGGAATCTTCCGCCTCCTCCTCCTCTTTCTCTTCCCCTGCCCCTCCCCCTCCCCATTCCCCTTCCCCAGTCGTTTTTTGGACCAAAAGATTTTTCGAATGGCTGCTGCTGCTGCCAAGAATTGAAGGGTTGGGAAGAAGGGCCCGCTTGTGAATCCCAAATTTGGTTCCCACTGCTGGTTCCAGTTAGAAGGGTTGGAGTAAGGGGTATGCCTTGGCTGGTATGTCCTCTGCCCTGGCTGTTGGCGGTTCTGCTGCCCTGTTGAATTCTTGTGCTGCTGCTGCTGCTGCTGCTGCTGCCTCTGCTGCTGCTGCTGCTGCTGTTGCTGAGGCTGCTGCTGTTGCTTCTACTGCTGCTGTTGCGGTTGCTGCTGTGACTGTTTCTGTGGCTGCTGCTTCTGTTGCAACGCCTTAGAGCCTTCACCTTTGATGGCAGAGACTTCCTTCTCAATCGCTTCTAGCCTTTTTATGGTAGTCTTATTAAGAATCTCCATAACAGTAGGCTCTGTCTCCATCTCTTCTGCTACTTGCTTTGCAGTCTGCTTCCTCTGAATCTCCCGCTGCGCTGTCTCCTGAAGCTTGGCAAAAGAGAAGGTCTCTTCGACAGTGACGGTTTTTATCTCTTTCTCAAATTGAGTCAGAAGCTGCTGCTCCCACTCCTTGAAACTATCCTTAAAAACCGCTGCCGGACCCATCTCCCCCGTCTTCTGCAATTTCAGGCGGAAATCTTCCAGCGCTCGGTCAATGCTTTGAGAGAGCTTCACAAGTTCTGTCTCCTGCAGCTGGATCAGCTTCTCAAAACATTTCGTGTGATACGCCTTCTCCAACTCTCTAAAGTCAGCATCTCCTTCCAGCTTCAGTTCTGCATCGGCAGTATTATATGTCATTGGAGCAGACTTGAAGCTTCTAGGGAATTTCCCTTCAGCAAACTTTGCCTTCAGCTTCGTAATCTTGAATGACAGTTTCAGCTTCCTGATGACAGCTTCTCTATAAAGCTTGCTGCATGTCTGAAGCTGTTGCAGAAAAAACATCTGGAATTTTCTCTTGACCGCCAAAGGATATTTCAGAAGAGCTTCCAGCACTAGATCCTGTTGCCAGATTCGGATGTGCTGTCATGTAAGTCTTTAACGCAGAAGCTAACAGCCCAACTATCTCTGTCGCGGAGGATTGTGGATCTCCAGCAGTTGCGGAGTTGGACTGTTGAAACGCTAGATGCGCGGATAGTGTTGCTTGAGCCATAGCCTGCGCCTGTGCTTGAGCCTGAGCTTGAGCCTGCGCCTGAGTCTGCGCCTGAGCCTGCGCATGCGCTTGCGCCTGTGCCTGAGCCTGAGCCTGAGCCTGCGCCTGTGCAGCTAAAGCGGCCTGTTCCTGCGCCGTAATCGTAGCCGTAGCTTCATTCCCGTGCGTTGGAGTCCTAGTCCTAGCGGCTTCTTCTGCAGCTCGAACCATTGCTTCTTCCATCGATGATGTCACAGGACTAGCGTCGTCGTAGGAATCAGGGACTATTTCGCTAAATCGTTCTTCTGTGATCACTTCTTGGACAGTCAACGATCCTTTCGTCTGTTTCGTACAATTTCCTATCGAAGGTCCGGCTCCAACTGTAGGTCCGGCTCCAGATCCCGTTCCTGTCGATACCGCGCGATCCACTGTAGATCTGCGTACGGAGAGCCTGCTAAGCTCGTAATCGTCTCGAGCGTAGTTAGCTATCGCAGGAGGTAATGAAACTTGTGAAAACAGTGATCTTGCAGAAGTAAATCCTGGAAATTGTGGTCCAATCACGGTAACTTTTTTATCAGCGTGTAACGGTAACGTATTCTTCTGAATTGCGACGACCTCCGGCGACCTGAGCGCTGAAGATCGCTTCAAATCTAAACGATCGTCGGACATGAACTTCGAGTTCGGCTAATCTCCAAATAAGAACGATGCTCTCAAACTAGAAAAACGGGTAGAAAGCTGCAAGCTCGGTTCGACCGACCTAACTAATCTTGAGTAGTAAAAATCACTAAGTACTAGGCGAGACACGTGTAGGTAAACGCAGTGTATTAAAGGCAGATTACAAGAGGTTCAGAAATCGAACGCGCGTTTCGGCTTTTTGGGCCTTCATCGGCGTTTCCGAATCCTACTAAACTTGCCCTCTACCTAACATCCACTATTTGTACCTAGCATCCACTATTTGTACCTAGCAGTTCCGTGTCTCGTAAGAAACCTAGCACAAAGATTCAGACATTGCACACAACATTGCTTGGCGCCTCGTCTGTCTTGATGGGTCGCGCTTCGTCCGTCTTGATGGGTCGCGCTTCCAAACAGTAAAGCTGGCAAGTAAGTTCCGTCTTGTCGTGCAGCGGTTACCTACCTGGCAGAGAAATTGAATCACATTGCTTTCTTGAGGAGAATCTCGCTTTAACCAAAAAGTTCTGTAACTTTTTTGGTAACTTCCAAGCGAGTAAAAAACGAGGAAAAGGGAGATCATATGATACGAGCTGGTTTTTGAGAATTCTCAACAAGACTCGACGTTTAACGTCGTATGGGTTGCGTAGGTATACATTTTCAATCTATAAATATTAATATATCATAGATATAAGAAAAGTATAATATGATCAAAAATGCATATGTAGGTGATTGCTACTTTGGAATGGGTGAATGATTAAACATGCATTTAATGTGCCACCTGTTTGGAGGGTAAAATAGATACCGTAGATTTTGCTTGCGTGTGAGATTAATGATGTTTATTTAAAAATGGATATTACAAATTCTATTGGATATATGAGAAATACAATTATAATTTTATGTTAAATTGTATATTATGCTTTTGAATTTTAATTTGCTATTTATATATTGGATTTCAATCTATTATATTAGATACAATCTTTCAGCAATTTTGATTTTGATATGGTCATATTGGAACAACCTTAAGCTAAACTGTTTAGATGCACTATTTAGACCCTAAACCAAAAAGTTATGTAACTTTTTTGGTAACTTCCAAGCGAGTAAAAAACGAGGAAAAGGGAGATCATATGATACGAGCTAGTTTTTGAGAATTCTCAAAAACCAGCTCGTAGCATATTTGCTCGAACGACATGCACGATACACATTCTGAAATATTCCGTCCCGACCGAGCAGGCCTCTCGAATCCACAGGGAGCTCTCTTCTCCATCCACCACACCATGGAGAGCCACGGCGACGGCGATGCTGTGAAGCCGGCTCGTCCCAGCACCGCCACACATGACGCAGAACAGTCAGGTTGCGATGAAAGACTGGCCGCGCAGAATTCCGGACAGTCACAACCGCAAATCGCGTCCTCGTCGCGAAATGTAGAAGCACCGCAAATCGCGTCCTCGTCGTCCTTGCCAGAGGTACCACTAGCTCTGCAGGACCGCGAGCCAGGCGTAGATGCATCGACTCCCTTGCCAGACGTAGAAGCACCACCGAAATCCTTGCCAGACGCGCCATTCGGTTTGGGTGCCGGTTCGGCGATACACTCGCTCGCGTTCGACGAGATTTACCCGCCTCAGGTGCTCTCTGTGCGATCTCCGCCTCGCTACCACGAGCGAAGCTTCTCGCGATACTTCCTGCGCGGTGCGTGGGAGCCATAATTGTCTGCCATTTGCGTCAACGTTTCGCAATCCCAGCATAGCTAGTAGCGTTGTCTCATTCTCCAAGCGGAATGTCTTTCTTCTGAACCGTTTTGCACCCATTTGTTTTCGTGCATCCGCCATTTCTGGTGTGGCAGACGTGGGAGGAATAAAGGGCAACGATCAGTACATTTACCGCCACGCCAACGGGTAGGTGTTCACTGCCAGTATCAAATCTTTTAAGTATCAAATCATACTGCTTCTGGTGTCACAGACGTGGGAGGAGTAAAGGGCAACGATTAGTACATCTACCGCCACGCCAATGGGTACGCCGCGCTGCCATTGTCCCTCCCGTTATCACCTGTCGGTACGAAATCACACAGCTTCTTCGTGTTCCAAAATTCTGACCCCTGACTGCCATGAAACATAGTCGGTGGAGAAACCGATCGCGTCCCACTATGTTGGAGTCACATTTGCGAATTCTCAAAACCGACTATGCCGGGGGTCACTTTCATGGCAGTCAGGGGCCACAATGCCGTCCCTCCCTCCCCTACCCGCGCGCCACCCACCCTCCCCTTCCCTGTCCCCTCCCGCACTGCCTCGCCCTCTCGCTCTCCTGGTAATCCCACCCGTTTTTGTCTTGCTTACACCCCACCCTCTCCACTCGACCCACTTCCCCCTCCCCAGCCTCTTCCCGTGCATGCCACCTGTGCGCCTCTTCCCCGTCGTCCCCCCTGGTGCCCTCCGTCCCTCCCGTGCCCTTCGTCTCCCCCGTCCCCCTCGTCCCCCAGACCCCCCTCATCCCCATCTTCCCCTCCCCCCATCGTCCTCTCTTCCCCTTCCCCCACCTCCCCCACCTCGTTCCCCTCTGCCAGGCTCATTGTGGTGGGCCTTGCTCCTTCTCATGCAGCGCTGGCAACAGATCGGACGATTTCAGCCGTTGATTTCCACGTGGGCAAGAGGAGCCGCCTGGAGATGGAGGCCACTGGCAAGAACAAACAGGTAGGGGGTTGAGGGTTTAGGGAAGTTGGGGTTGAGAGGTTTGTGTTGAGAGCGGTTGGGGTTGAGAGGGGTTGGGGATTTGGGTTTTGGGTTTGGGATTTGGGGTTTCTGCTTAACATTGAAAGTTGAGGGTTTTGGGTCTGAAAGCTGATGGGTAAGGGTTTCAGGTTGAGAGGTGGAGAGCTTTGGAAGAGGAGGCAGGTGCGGGATGGAGGAGGAGTTGAAGTGAAACAGAGGGGTGAACTCTGTGTTGAATGCCGGAACAGGGGAAAGCTGGCCTTCCTTAGCTGTTCCTATGTAGTTGCCACTGGCACTGGGTGTCCTGTATCTGAGTCACTTTTGAGATTTCTAGAAATTGTGTGGCCTTGACCCATTTCTATGAAATAGCCTCTGGCCGTCCTGCTTTTATGACTTTCAGCTTCATCCCCTACTTCGTGTGTTCATACTCACCATCCAATCAGAGGGCGACACCTCTGGATGCCAACTCAGCTCTCTGCAAGATCCTCATGGTGACGTCACCTCCTGATACAGTCACAACCGCTAGTGGTGACGCCAAAGCTACCGCCACACTACCGAATGTGACTGCCTCTGCAGTTTCTAACGCGGCAGATCCAGCATCTGGCAGCATTGCCGCAGGCAATGGCAGCTCGATTTGCGTGTCAGAAAGAGCAGCAGCTCTGCCCTCTGCCACCGATACAGTCACAGCACCTGATACAGTCACAGCCACTGATACAGTCACCGCCACTAATGCAGTCACAGCCACTGATACAGTCACGGCCACTGATACAGTCACAACTGGTAATACAGTCACAGCTGCTGTTACACTTACAGGTTCCCGTGGTGCAGCCGCAGATGGTGGTAATCCATTGAATTCCAACAAGAGGAGCAGAGATAATGAGGAAAGACAGCCGAAGATAGGGGGTAGCTTGGGATCAAGAGACGAGAAAGATGAAGCAGGAAGGAATGGGCAGCGGCAGGAAAATGGCCGAGGAGGAGAGAAGAATGGGCAGGGATATGGATTCTACGTTGCAAGGTGAGTGCACCAGAGGGGAGAATATTTGCATGCGGTGTGTGTCTGCTTGTCTTTACGTGAGTGTGACATCCTTGTCCATTTCAATTGTCCATCTCACCCCCACGCTTCCCACTGTACCTAGTTTCTCCGTTGCTTCACCATCACCCCTTTAGTTGCTGCGCTTTAGAAATTTCTCTCATGTTTTTGTGTCACATCATTTTTCCGTACTGTGGACGGTTTACCCCCTGTCCTGCAGGTGCTGCGTCAAGGGTCGTCTGATAGAGGTCAATCGACAGCTGGCCACCAACCCAATGCTGCTCAGAGACAAAGTAAGGTCTTGTTGAAGAGTATAATGATGCTGTAACGGCCCGCCATAACGTATTGCCACATCCTCCACCGACTGCTCCTTTGAGTGGCACAGAAGGAACAATATTCAACTCACTAAACTTTGTCTGAAATTTCCATTACTGCGTTTTACCATACTTGTTTGTTTGCTTGCTATTCTGTTTATTTGTTGTGTTAAGTTGTAATGTGTTATTTATATGTAGGTAGGCTGTAGTGGGGTAGCCAATACAGGGTACAAACCCAACTAGGGTTAGCTACTTGTACCCAACTGTTTCTTTCAATGCACCATTCTTGCCTAGTTCTGTTAACATGGTATTCAGAGCAGGAGGTCCCTAGGACCTACCGACCGTTTTTTTTTAAGGGCCCACCACCGCTCGCATGCGGTTACCACGCTACCCCGTGCCCTAGCCTCGTAGCGCCCTCGTGCGCCCTCGTTAGCGCCCTCGTGCGCCCTCGTTAGCGCCCTCGCGCGCCCTCGTTAGCGCCCTCGTTAGCGCCCTCGTGCGCCTCTCGTTAGCGCCCTCGCGCGCCCCTCGCAGCGTCGCCCGCCCGCCGAGCCGCCCGCTCGCAGCGTCGCCCGCCTACCGCGCTGCCCGTTTCGCAGCCCGCCCGCCGCGCTGCCCGCTCGCAGCGTCGCCCGCCCGCCCGCTGCCCGCTTGCAGCGTCGCCCGCCCGCCCGCTGCCCGCTTCGCAGCGTCGCCCGCCCGCCGCGCTGCCCGCTCGCAGCGTCGCCCGCCCGCCTCGCTGCCCGCTTGCAGCGTCGCCCGCCCGCCCGCTGCCCGCTTCGCAGCCCGCCCGCCGCGCTGCCCGCTCGCAGCGTCGCCCGCCCGCCTCGCTGCCCGCTTGCAGCGTCGCCCGCCCGCCCGCTGCCCGCTTGCAGCGTCGCCCGCCCGCCCGCTGCCCGCTTCGCAGCCCGCCCGCCGCGCTGCCCGCTCGCCGCGTCGCCCGCCCGCCCCGCTGCCCGCTTCGCAGCCCGCCCGCCGCACTTCCCGCCTGCAGCACCGCGCTGCCCGCTTCGCAGCCCGCCCCCCGCACTGCCCGCTCGCCGCGTCGCCCGCCCGCCGCGCTTCCCGCCGAGCTACCTACCTGCAGCGCTGCGGCAGCTTCCTTTGCTCAGTCGCACTGTCGCTATGGCTTCCATCCGCGTGCTGTCGTTCGATGCTGAGGGCCGCCCTGTGAAGTTCGCCACTTGGCTGGATGACCTGCAGCTGTTCCTTCTGAGCGATAGCAAGGAGCATGTGTCGCTCTATGATTACGCGTCTGGTGCTGCACCTGCCCCTCCTGCCACAGCTGAGCTTAGTGTTCGTTCCCACTGGCAGACTCGTGACGCAGCTGCTCGCCTAGCCATTCGCAGTCACCTGCCGCTAGCTGAGCTCGAGCATTTTGGCGACTGCAAATCCGCTAAGGCCCTGTACGATGCTGTCGTTGCTCGCTACTCCTCGCCTGCCACAGCCGAGCTTAGCCGCCTCATGCTGCCGTACCTGTTCCCTGAGCTGTCCACCTTTGCTACAGTCGCCGATCTTATCACTCACCTTCGCACTAGTGATGCTCGCCTGCGTGCCGCCCTTCCCACCGAGTTCTGCGCTAAGAATCCCCCTCCACTGTACTGGACACTCCACTTCATAGTCACCCGTCTCCCTGACACCCTCAGCTCAGTTCGAGACCACTTCCTTGCTCGCTGTCCCACTGAGCTCACAGTCGCCCTCCTAGAGGAGCAGCTGCTAGCGGCCGAAAAGAGCATTGTAGCTGTCGGTGCTGCTCGTGGCGCTCCTCGCACCCCCATCTTTGAGGGGTGTTCTCCCTCTCCCCTCGCTCCCTCCTACGCTACTGCTGCTGCTGTTGACTTCCTTGGTGCTGAGTCTGCTGGCGCTGCTTCTGCTCCTGGTGGGAGGCGCCGCACCGGCAAGGGCAAGGGGGGCAAGGGTGGCGGGGGTGGCGCTGGGGGGGGAGGAGGTGGGGGAGGTGGGGGGGGAGGCGGTGCTGGAGGGAGCGGTGGCGGGAGCGCTGGTGGGAGTGTGGGCGGCGGTGGAGGCGGGGGCGGCGGAGGAAGCAGTGGCAGTAGTGGCGGCGGCGGCGGTGGCGGCGGTGGCGGTGGTGGCGGTGGTGGCGGTGGCGGTCGGAGCGGTGGTAGTGGTGGCGGCGGAGGTCGGAGTGGAGGCACTGGCTCGGGCCAGAGCTCCCAGCAGCAGCAGCGTCCCCAGACGACCCAACAGCTTCGTGAGTGGCTTGCTCAGCGTGGGACGTCGGGGGGCAGTGGCCGCTGTTCCTATGTCATTCGCACAGGTGACCGCAAGGGACAGACGTGTGGGAGGTTCCACACCCCGTACCGCTGCTTCTCCCGCCTTGACGACGCTTGGCGTGAGGAGATGGGCGAGGATGTTGAGCGCCCCAACTGGGCTGAGCTCATGAGGGCTGGTGTTGATATCTTTGCTCTTGACTATGATGCTATTATTGCTGCCATGTATGCATTGACTGTTAGTGCCGAGGGAGACTGTTACTTGTGTGTGCCGCCTGACCCAGGTATAGAGCCCGCTGCCCTGGGTACTAGTGAGTCTGCTCTCTCTGGTATGGTGCCCCCTGTACTTGCTCCCTCCAGTGCTGTCCCGGCTGTTTGCGAGTCTGCTCTCTCAGGTACAGCACCCACAGAGACTGCTCTCTCAGGTACCGCACCGGCTGAGGCCTGTCACACCTTCACCCTTGACTCAGGTGCTTCCCGCTGTTTCTTTCGTGACAGTACTGAGCTCACACCGCTTCCTGCACCGGTCCCAGTCTCCTTGGCTGACCCCTCTGGGGGCCCAGTCCTTGCCCAGTCCACCACTGTGCTCCCTTGTCCGGCGGTTCCGTCTGGCTCGTTGTCGGGTTTCCACCTCCCCTCGTTCTCGACGAACCTGGTGAGCAACGCTGTCATCCAGGATCAGTGGGTTGACACCTTTACCCCTGGAGGACAGCGTGTGGCGATCTGCACGTGCTCCAGGACCGGCCGTCACCTGGCTACGTTTACCCGTCGGCCGGGGTCGAGTCTCTACACACTGACCACTGCGTCTCCTCAGGTTGCTGCTGTCGGTCAGGTGTCCGCGTCAGGTCTGGTGGCCCACGCCTGTGAGTGTCGTTCCCTGTCGCACCAGACTCTTCTCTGGCACCACCGCCTGGGTCACCCCTCCTTGCCACGCCTCCGTGGCATGCACCGTCGCTGCCTTGTGTCTGGTCTTCCCAGGTCCCTCCCTCCCCTCCCTGCCTCGCCTGCGCCGCCTTGCCTTCCTTGCGTCGAGGGGCGGCAGCGCGCCGCTCCTCACTCCTCCTCGTTCCCCCCGACAGAGGCTCCTCTGCAGACCCTCCACCTGGACGTGTGGGGCCCAGCCCGCGTTCGTGGCCAGGGCGGTGAGCGGTACTTTTTGCTGGTTGTCGACGACTACTCGCGTTACACCACGGTCTTCCCCTTGCGCACCAAGGGTGAGGTCCCTGCTGTTCTGATCCCTTGGATCCGCACAGTTCGTCTCCAGCTCCGCCGCCGTTTCCGGACGGATCTTCCTGTCCTGCGTCTGCACTCTGACAGAGGTGGTGAGTTTTCCTCCGATCTCTTGAGGACCTTCTGTCAGGCGGAGGGCATCGAGCAGACCTTCACGCTTCCGGACTCCCCACAGCAGAATGGGGTTGCTGAGCGCCGCATTGGCCTGGTCATGGAGGTCGCTCGTACCTCCTTGGTCCACGCGGCGGCTCCCCATTTTCTGTGGCCGTTTGCTGTCCGGTACGCCGCGCATCAGCTCAACCTCTGGCCCCGTGTCTCCTTGCCGGAGACCTCGCCCACACTGCGTTGGACGGGGGAGGTTGGCGATGCGTCGCGCTTCCGGGTGTGGGGTGCTCGTGCCCTTGTCCGCGATACGTCCGCGGACAAGCTCTCCTCCCGCACGCTTCCCTATGTCTTCCTTGGCTTTGTCCCTGACGCGCCGGGCTGGCAGTTTTACCACCCCACCTCGCGCCGGGTCTTCGCCTCTCAGGACGTCACCTTTGACGAGTCGGTCCCTTTTTACCGTCTCTTCCCCTACCGCACTGCCCCCCTCCCTCCCCCGCCGCTTTTCCTTGCTCCTGGTCCCCCTCCGGTAGACCCCCTTCCCCCTCAGGGTCCTGCTCCTTCAGGTGTCTCTCAGGTAGACCCTCCTCCCGTCGCTGAGCCTGTCGAGGTCACAGGTGACTCAGGTGCTGCTGCAGGTGGTGCTGCTGGGAGTGCTGAGCCTGGGGGTGCTGAGCCTGCGAGTGCTGGGCCTGGGAGTGCTGGGACTGCGGGTGCTGGAGCTGAGGGTACTGTGCCTGGGAGTTCGGCGCCTGGGGGTGCTGAGCCTGGGGGTGCTACGACTGGGGGTGCTGAGCCTGCGTGTACGGAGTCTGGGGGTGCCGAGCCTGGGGGTACTGCGCCTGAGGGTACTGAGCCTGGGGGTGCTGCTACTGAGCCTACGGAGCCTGGGGTTGCTGCGTCTGGGGGTGCTCTTCCTGGCGGTACTGGAGCTGCTGGAGCTGACGACGCTGGAGCTGACGGTTCTGGACACGGTGGCCATGCTGGTTCTGGAGGTGCTGGCGAGGGGAGGTCTGACGCTGCTGGGGCCTCTGGTGCTGACGTCGCCGACTCGGGGGGTGCTGCGGCGGAGGGTGCTGGTCCAGGTGCTTCTGGTGCTCCGGGTGCTGGAGGTGCTGGCGGAGCTCCGCCGTCGCGCCTGTTCTTCGCTCCTCCGTCGCCGTCGGCTTTGCCGCCGCCTGACACGGTGCTTCGCCAGGTTCTTTCCCTCCCGTCTTCCACTGGCCTTCCCCTTCAAGCCTGGCTCCCCCCTCCCTGCTCCGGTGCCTTACACTGCACAGCCGGACTCGCTTACGGAGCGTCGTGAGCCTGCGTCTCGTCCTGCCTCGCCTGTTCGCGCTGCTCGCACTGCTCGCACTGGTCCCACTAGCCGTCGTGTCGCGCGTCCGCGTCCTCCTCCTGTTCCTGGCACGCACATTATGGCACTTCGTCCTTCCACTGGTCCACAGCGTGTCCCCCTACCGTCTCCTCCTGCGTCTTCTCTTCCTGACGTTCCCGACCCTGAGTCTGACAGTGTTCGTGCTGCCCACCCTACTGTCACGCGTCTTCTCGCCACTGTTGTCACTGACCCGTCGTTTGAGTCTTCTGCTGCGTCTGCCCTGGTCGCTGAGCTTGTCGACTTTGCTGCTGCCTGTCGCCTCGACTACGCCGCCAGTCTTGTTGCTGAGTCTGAGTCTGTCTGTCCTCCGTCCGTCGGGGGTGAGTGTGCTCTTGGCACGGACGTCCTTGAGGACAGGCAGGAGGACTTTGACTCTCTTGTGGCTGCTGTACCTCATCTCGTGGCCTGGTTGCTTGCCCCTGAGGGAGACCCGGATGCACTAGACATCCCCACTCCGCGCACTTACGCAGAGGCGATCTCGGGTCCCTACTCCTCTCAGTGGCAGACAGCCATGGACGCAGAGATGGCATCCTGGAAGTCCACAGGCACCTACGTCGACGAGGTTCCCCCTCCTGGGGCGAACATCGTCGATGGCATGTGGATTTTCAGGGTGAAGCGGCCGCCAGGTTCTCCGCCTGTCTTCAAGGCTCGTTACGTTGCTAGAGGCTTCAGTCAGCGTCAGGGGGTCGACTTCTTCCAGACCTTCTCCCCCACCCCGAAGATGACAACTCTTCGGGTTCTGCTGCACGTTGCTGCTCAGCGTGACTACGAGCTTCACTCTCTTGACTTCAGCACAGCGTTCCTGCAGGGCAGCCTGCACGAGGAGATCTGGCTGCGCCGCCCACCTGGCTTTACTGGGTCGTTTCCTCCTGGTACCCAGTGGAGCCTCCGCCGGCCAGTCTACGGTCTCCGCCAGGCGCCACGTGAGTGGCACGACACACTGAGGACTACACTTGCGGCTCTTGGGTTCGCGCCGTCTACTGCTGACCCGTCGCTGTTTCTGCGCACAGACACGTCGCTGCCGCCGTTCTACATTCTCGTGTACGTCGACGACTTGGTCTTTGCTACTGCTGACACTGAGGCACTCGCTCGTGTGAAGTCGGAGCTGCAGAAGAGACACACCTGCACTGACCTGGGTGAACTGCGTAGCTACCTTGGCTTGCAGATCACCCGGGACAGAGCTCGCCGCACCATCACCCTGACTCAGTCACACATGGTGCAGCAGGTCCTTCAGCGCTTCGGCTTCCAGTTCTCCTCACCACAGGCCACACCTCTGGCTACCAGCCACTCGCTCTCAGCTCCACCTTCGGACGAGTCCGTAGAGCCGAGTGGCCCGTACCCAGAGCTTGTAGGCTGCCTCATGTACCTGATGACTTGCACGCGACCTGACCTCGCGTACCCACTTAGCATCCTTGCTCGCTACGTTGCGCCTAGGAGACACAGGCGAGAGCACTGGGAGGCTGCTAAGAGGGTGCTGCGTTACTTGTGCAGTACATCAGGCATGGGGCTGGTGCTTGGAGGACGCGACAGAGTTGTCCTCACTGGTCACTCGGACGCTTCTTGGGTGGACGACCTGGCTACGCAGCGGTCGTCACAGGGTTACACCTTCAGCCTTGGCTCTGGTTCTGTCTCGTGGCGGTCCACCCGCTCTTCTTCTGTTCTCGGCTCTAGTTGTGAGGCTGAGATCTACGCCACAGCCATGGCTGCACAGGAGTTACGCTGGCTCACCTACCTGCTGACTGACTTGGGAGAGCGGCCTAGTTCTCCTCCAGTTCTGTACGGTGACAACAAGGCGGCTCTTGCCTTGTGTCAGGAGCACAGACTGGAGCACAGGACGAAGCACATTGCTCTTCGCTACTTTCTTGCTCGAGAGCTTCAGCAGCGCGGTCAGCTTCGGCTTGTGTACGTGGACTCGAAGGCCAACACTGCTGATATCTTCACCAAGGCGCTCCCGCCTAGTGATCATCAGCGGCACTGTACTTCTTTAGGCCTTGTGTCCACGTTTCCTCACTTGCTCACTGCTTGACATTCTTTGTACTGTACTTTATATTTGTCTTGCTGCTTGTCCTGTTCTATATCTAGCACTACATGTGAACTGGCCTTGTGGCCTTTGTTTGTGCTCGGAGTGTGGTGACGTTGTGATCCACCCTGGGCTTGTTTTTGCTTTGCTGGACTGGTCTTGTGACCCTTTGCTCTCCCCCACTTTGCCTATGGGGGTGTGTTAAGTTGTAATGTGTTATTTATATGTAGGTAGGCTGTAGTGGGGTAGCCAATACAGGGTACAAACCCAACTAGGGTTAGCTACTTGTACCCAACTGTTTCTTTCAATGCACCATTCTTGCCTAGTTCTGTTAACATGTTGTGTTATTTTCTTCTGAATTTCATTGTTTGTTCGTCACTACTCTTGGTGCATTCTGCAGGCGGCATCAGAGGGGTACATTGCAGTGCTGCTGCCACATCCTGCTGACTGGGCAGCGGCACTACCAAGGCTCTTGACAGCAGACCAATATGAAAGTGCCAATAAACAGTAGCGATGAGTCTGCTATGCTTGGGTGTTCTAAAGCACCCATCAGACTCTGATGATCAGAGCACACAAAAGCAGCAGCAGCTTTTGTTGGATAAGTGCAGGCAATGCGTTTTGAAATGTAGATGGTTCATTGATAAGGAGGCTTCTAGTAGTAATATATGCTGAAGGTATTCTGCATAGTCGTGTCCAAAGCAAACTGAGCCGTTTTACATTTTGATGTCGTGTTCATAAACTAACACCGCCATTTCAAGGATGCTGTACGCAATTATAATATCCGCACTGTTTGTAGGCCTATTGTACCGGATTCATTCCGATGATCTCGTTTCAGCCAGTTCGGCCTATATTTTCGCCCCGAACCACTTCGGAATCGCCATCGCGCGTTGCGCTAGCCTTCCGAGCCTCGTCTACCCCGAGGTTCTCGCCTAGCTCGACTCTACCTATTTATTCCTCGTTTGCATTTCAGTTCGTTTGTAAAACCCACACACTGATGTAGCAGAGGTCGCCAAGCTCCATAACGACAGCCGTCAAAAAGCTCTGTTGCTGCTCCTCTTTGTTCCTCGCCCATGACGGCAGCAACTCAGTCAGTCCCCAAAAGGAACCACTAACCTGACCAGCGCAAGTTCAGGCACGACACGACCAATAGCTTGCCATCGATTTTGTCGATAACTCGCGCCGGATGGCGTCCTGTAGAACGAAACGATGAGAAAGCTTTTGTAGAGACGTGGTATTGGCGACAGACACCATGGCTTCGCCAGCTGCGAATACGACAATGTCGAATGTGACAGTAACGGAGGTGGCTATGGCGGAGATGCTAGCGCAGCTGGCGGCGGTTGAGGCGGAGTGGGTGAGCGTAGCGGCGCGCGCGAAGGGCATCGTGCCGCTGACGTCGGGCATATGGCGGATGATGGCCGCCTTCATCGTGCTCTTCATGCAGGTGATTCGCAGCGTCGCAGAGCGTCGCAGGGTGTCGCACGCAGCCTTGGCGACAGCGATAGCCAGCGTCGCACGCACCGGGGCGCCAGCACGCAATGGCTCAGGCTTAAAGCCGCAACGAGGCTGGCTTGTTGATTGTCAAGCGGTCTGGCTGCGACTGACTGCAGTCTGGCTGGGGCACTGCATTTGATCCCATGGCGCAACAAGAGCTTTCAGTGGAATGTTGACAGAGAGCAGCGCAGCGGTTGTAGCAGAGGGGTCGCGGAGACCAGCGGAGCGGTTGTAGCAGAGTCTTTGCAGAGAGCAGCAGTGGCTGTAGCGGTGAAGGACCCCTCTTTACCGCCACGTGCCCTGGTTACAGCAACACTGCTGTACCTCCTCCTTTCATTATCCCATTGTCTTACCACCTAGACGAGAATATGTTTTGCATTCAGTGCACCCACACTCTCACCACCCATCCACGCAACCACTACCACACCTGCTCCTCTCACATTCCCCAATCGCCGAGCCGAGCCGGGCGTCTCACTGATGTACGCCGACATGGCGTAGTGCTCCTGCGTTCACTAGTATTGGTGTGGCTTGTATTGCTCTCTCTGCACCTACACTCACTGCACGCCCACTCTCTCACTGCACGCCCACTCTCTCACTGCACGCCCACTCTCTCACTGCACGCCCACTCTCTCACTGCGCAACATTTGCTACAAAAGTCCGAGCATCATTGAATAATGAACGTGTTCAATCAGACATGTGCTGTGCACTAGGCCAGGCCCGCCGTCGATCTCCTTCTCTTCTCCCATCCACCTCCCACTCCACCAGCTGGGCTTCTCCCTAATAGAGGCGGGCACCGTTCGATACAAGAACACGCGCAACATAATGATAAAGAACGTGCTCGACATGTGTGTCAGCGCCATCGCCTTCTGGCTCATCGGCTTTGCCATCGGCTTTGGCAGCGGCTCTGATTTTATTGGCTGGCAAACACCCTCAGGCTCGGTAAGACCCTCAGGCTCGGTAAGAAACTATGGGTCGGTAAGGCACAGGCTTGGAGGCCCTCAGGCATGGTAAGTCCCTCAGGCTTGGTAGGGCGCTTAGGCTTGGTAAGGCACTCAGGCCTGGTAAGGTGCCCAGGGTCGGTACGGCTCTCAAGCTGGGTAAGACGTCCAAACTTCAGGCTCGCTGTGATGTATGGAGGCTCGGCAAGTGTTGATGTGGAAACAAATTGGATTCGATCAGGTGTGTGATATTTGTTGAATGCATGTGTTATGTGTTACGTTGTGATTAGGGAACTAGCTGCCCCCCATGCCCCACAGGTATCGCTGGCACTGGTGCCTCACGAGAGCGGGTCGCTATTCTTCTTCAACTTTGTCTTCTGTGCCACCAGCGCCACATTCCTTGCCCCATGCCCCATGCCCCATGCCCCATGCCCCATGCCCCATTGCCCATGCCCCATGCCCCATGCCCCATGCCCCATGCCCCATGCCCCATGCCCCATGCCCCATGCCCCATGCCCCATGCCCCATGCCCCATGCCCCATGCCCCATGCCCCATTGCCCATGCCCTATGGCCCCCATGCCCCATGTCCCACTTGTCTGTCCACACACACCAGGTGTCACTGGCAGTGGTGCCTCACGAGAGCGGGTCGCTCTTCTTCTTCAACTTTGTCTTCTGTGCCACCAGCGCCACCATCTTTGCTGGTGCCGTGGCCGAGAGGACTCAGATCACCGCCTACCTCTTCTTCAAGTCTGTAACCTCCTTCCTTCTTTATGAGGGCGCGTGTGATTTTTTTTGGGGTTCGGTATTTAGGTCGAACTTTGTGTGGTTACCAGTTTCGCCAATGTCGCGAGCAGGTTTTGGCAAAAGTGTGGTCACTTTGGGTAACAGTCAAGTGCGAATGCCAACCACGAACTTGCCTCGAGTCAGAGCCTGAACGTGCGCATGCACATTCAAGCAAGCGTGTGTTGTTTTACGCACGAACGAGAGACATGCGAAGCTGGCGAGGGTTTCGTGCAGCATGAAGCGACGCCCCGAAACAGCAACATCCAGGGCCTCTCTGAATATGCCACGTGGTAGCTTCCGTGGCACGTATGCCGGAGGAAGCAGACCAGCTGGATGATAGTCATGGTGGCGAAAATGACATATCATTTTTGCTGGCGAATGGGGATATTTGTACCACCAGAATGCTGGAAGCGCGTTGGTGAGTTGGAGGTCTAGATTGTAAAAGTGGCGAGCCGCTTCCTTGTGACGTGTCGCGCTGTCAAGCAAGCGGAATCGGGTAACCTACAGCACTCTGCGCGGCTCGACAGACTGCCTATAAAGGTCGAACCCCTGAGTTCGACATTGGGTGTGTGATTATGACATAGCCGAGTTGGGGTGCTGCGGTTCGAACATTGCAAACCTCGAGATTCGAGTTGAGTTCGCGATGTATTAGACTGCTACATTCGCCCAAAAAACGTGAACAGTACAATTTTCGAAAATCACACGTGCCCTAAGGCGACGGGAAACTGACTTCTGAGCTGAATTTTGAGTCCAATGTTAAGCCGTCTTCGCTGGTGCCGTGGCTGAGAGGACTCAGATCATCGAGTACCTCTTCTTCAAGAAACCACCTCGCTCTTCGCCCTGTGTTTTTTCCAAGTAACGGTTATTGCTTGTCACAACCACTCTACTTCAGGTATACTCGCACGTCTTATGCACTCTCCTCTCCATGCTCATGCCATGCCATGTTTCACAATGTTCTCCCCACCTACACTGCGTGCCGCGTTTGAGCCCGCACACCCCTCCCTCCATGCCCCCCAGCTTCTTCCTGGCAGCCATCATCTACCCGGTCATCGCGCACATCATCTGGTCGCACCACGGGCTGCTGTCAGCTGATGCGGGCGATTACGTGCTCGGCACCCGGGGCGTGCTGGACAATGCTGGATCCATGGTCGTTCATGTCACAGGTGGGTGGGTGGGTGGGTGGGTGAGTGGTGGGTGGGCATGGCATGGCACAGATGGGCATGGCACAGGTGGGCAGGTCACGGGATGGGCATGGCACAGGTGGGCAGGTCACGGGATGGGCATGTCACAGCTGATCTCAAACGCTTTCATTGTAACATGTGCTCTTAGCTCCTTCCTTCCTTACTGTGTGGTAAGAAGCTGGTAACTTTATTTCGTTTGTAATACATTTGACCCTGCTCACAACAGGTGGCGTCACCTCATTGGTTGCTGCGTGGATGGTCGGCCCGCGGATTGGAAGATTCGATATTGACGGCCGCGTTGTACCCTTTAGAGGGCACTCCCTGGTACGATACTATCGCCATTCTACCAGGGATTCATTCCAATAGAATGATGTGTGACCCATTCTATTCCTTCCTGACCCACCATCATGATGCATCATAGTATCTTGAGACATCTGGTGTCTCAAGAATCCCATCCCTGCTCTCAAGTCTCAGCCTCATGATCCCTACACGGGCATCAGTCTATTTTTGAGGCGCTTCAAAAACAGAATCCAATCCCATCCCGTCCCGTCCCGTCCCGTCCCATCCCATCCCGTCCCGTCCCGTCCCATCCCGTCCCGTCCCGTCCCATCCCGTCCCATCCCATCCCATCCCATCCCATCCCATCCCATCCCATCCCATCCCGTCCCGTCCCGTCCCGTCCCGTCCCGTCCCGTCCCGTCCCGTCCCGTCCCGTCCCGTCCCGTCCCGTCCCATCCCATCCCATCCCATCCCATCCCATCCCATCGCATCCCATCCCATCCCATCCCATCCCATCCCATCCCATCCCATCCCATCCCATCCCATCCCATCCCACCATCCCATCCCGTCCCGTCCCATCCCATCCCATCCCATCCCATCCCATCCCATCCCGTCCCATCCCATCCCATCCCATCCCATCCCATCCCATCCCATCCCATCCCATCCCATCCCATCCCATCCCATCCCATCCCATCCCGTCCCATCCCATCCCATCCCATCCCATCCCGTCCCATCCCGTCCCATCCCATCCCATCCCATCCCATCCCATCCCATCCCATCCCATCCCATCCCATCCCATCCCATCCCATCCCGTCCCATCCCATCCCATTCCTGGTCCCGAGTCGAGTTTCAGCCTCATGATTGCTCAAGGTGCAAAAAAACGACCGAAAGATTGAGTTTCTGGCGTATAAAACACTATCGTATTTTTCGGCCGTTTAAAACGTTTTAAAACGCCAAGAAGTGGTAATTTCAATGTGGTGCAAAAAAACGGCCGTTTTTTACAGCAGACACCTTGAAACCAGTTGGTTTACACATATTTTTAAGTATTGGTTCCAACCATGAACCTCGACCAGATGAACCAGCCATGAGGAAGACAGAGGGGATTTATCAGTGGGACTGTAGTAGAACGGTGACTCCGGGGAGGAGAGTCTGAAGAGTCTGGGGGGGAGGAGGAGGAGGGTCGAACGAGCGCAACCAAGACACTCTGTTAGCATTGTATTGCTTCTTTGCTATCCTGGTCAGGAGCGGAGTCGTGTCTACTGTAAAAAAAAAAAAAAAACAAAAAAAAAGTCACAAAATCTTTAACAAAAAAACGGCCAATCTTTTGAGATCTGACCGTAAAATACGAGCGTAAAAAACGGACCGTATTTTACACTTGCCGAAATTTTGCACCTTGTGATTGCTACATGATGCATTGGTTCTTTTGACACGTCTCAAAACATCACTTTTATCACGTGGCTACATGAGGCATTGGTTGGGCTGCTCACTCACCAGTACAAAACCACCCAATCTCCTTTCGTTTTCCCCTTCCCCTTCCAGAGTCTCAGTCTTTCATCCTCCTCGTCCTCCCTCTTCCTCCTCCTCCCACTCTCCCCCTTCTCTCACCCTCTCACTCCTCTTCCCCCTCTGCCCATTCTCCCCTCTTTCCCACTGCTGCATCCCTCCTCGTCCCCTCCTTCTGTGCGAGCTAGCACAGGTGTTCGTAGCAGCGGGCACCATCATCCTGTGGGTGGGCTGCTGTTGCCTGTGGGGGGTCAGGGACAGCACTGCGCTACCGTCCACCTTCCTCTCATTCTCCCTTTTCCGCTCTCCCCATGCTTCCCCCAACCCTCCCTCCACTCCACCCCACAGGTGTTCATAGCAGCGGGCACCATCATTCTCTGGGTGGGTTTCTTTGGCTTCAACGGCGGCTCAGTGCAGTACCTGGGGCAGCCCGCCAACGTGTGGGTGGCTGACGTGGCGCGCGTGTGCGCCAACACCACCGTCTGCGCCGCCTTTGCGGGCGTGGCGGTGTGGTTTGTGACTTACCGGCGGAGGGAGCCCAACCTGGAGGACACACTCAACGGCGTGATTGGCGGGCTTGTTGCAGCCTGTGCTACAAGTAGTATTGTGGAGGCATATGCTGCTTGCATCATTGGTGAGTTAGCCAGGTGGGGCGTGGCGGTGTGGTTTGTGACGTACCGGCGGAGGGAACCAAATCTGGAAGACACACTGAATGGCGTCATTGGCGGGCTCGTGGCTGCCTGTGCTGCAAGTAGTATTGTGGAGGCATATGCTGCCTGCATTATTGGTGAGTCAGCCAGGTGGGCGTAGTGGACGTGGCGGTGTGGTTTGTGACGTACCGGCGCAGGGAGCCCAACCTTGAGGACACGCTCAACGGCGTGATTGGCGGGCTCGTTGCAGCTTGCGCCACGAGCAGCATCGTGGAGGCGTATGCTGCATGCATCATTGGTGAGTGAGAGTGGGTTTCGGTGGGAGTTGAGGTGAGATTGAGGCGGCTCAAGTGGAGAGTTGCGGGCGTGGCGGTGTGGTTTGTGACGTACTGGTGCAGGGAGCCCAATCTGGAGGACACATTGAATGGCGTCATTGGCGGGCTCGTTGCGGCGTGTGCCACGAGCAGCATCGTGGAGGCATATGCAGCCTGCATCATTGGTGAGTGAGAGAGTGGGGTTCTGGTGGTAGCTGGGGCTGAGGCACCTCATGAGGGGTGCTGCTGGCATGGCTTGAAGTTGAGGTAGCTCAAGAGGCGTGCGGGCGTGGCAGTGTGGTTTGTGTCGTACCGGCGGAGGGAGCCCAATCTGGAGGACACACTGAACGGCGTGATTGGCGGGCTCGCTGCGGCCTGTGCCACGAGTAGCATCGTGGAGGCGTATGCTGCTCGCATCATTGGTGAGTCAGCGCGGGGAGCTGGTGAGTCGGCGCGGGAAGCTGGTGAGTCAGCGTGGGGAGCGGGTGATTAGGCATGAGGAGACAGTGTGCTGAGTCGGCGCGGTGAGCTCTTGAGTCAGCATAGGTAGTTGGTGCTTCAGCTGCACCTTTTGGTCGAGTTCAGAACAGCCGATTCCTGCCCCCTTTAATTATGAGTAACATCTGAGAATAGCCGTCAACTATAGCTTGCTGCGGTTCAGTTCAGACCCTTTCAAGTCCTTGTTGACTTTTGAGTCGACTCAAATGTCAGTTCAGACCCTTTCAAGTCCTTGCAAAGGGGCTGCTTGTGTTGGGCGATTGCGAAACATCTAATTCCTGCCTCCATATCACAATGGTGGTGGTAGCTTGCGATGCATCTCCTGCACACCTGACACCTGGCAGCACCTGGCAGCACCTGGCCACTTGGCCACCTGACACCTGGCACCTGACACCTGACACCTGACACCTGGCACCTGGCACCTGGCACCTGACACCTGACACCTGACACCTGGCACCTGGCACCTGGCACCTGACACCTGGCACCTGACACCTGGCACCTGGCACCTGGCACCTGGCACCTGGCACCTGACACCTGGCACCTGACACCTGGCACCTCGCACCAGACGATGATCCTAGTGCACCTACCATTCCGTTTCTCCTTGCATGCATGATCCATTCATCTCGCTCCATCCACCTGCAGGGGCCATAGCAGGCGTGGTGTACCTGGGGGGGGTGTATCTGGTGAACAAAGCCCGTATTGACGACCCAGTTAATGTGAGTCCTACTCTCCCACTGTCTCCCTGCCCCACTATCTCACTGTCTTTCTACAGATATTTATGTTTGGTCGGTAGATAGCCATAGTTTTGGAGTAACAGCTTGGTTGGTACATAGGTTTGGTTCCATCTGTAGGTTCGGTACTGAACTGTAGGTTCAATTGGCTTGTCGCCCTCGCATCTTAGCCCACCCTTCACGCAACTTGGCCCACCATCACTCTCTCCATGTCTCCTTGTCCCGCCCACCCACCATGCGCCATGAGTCCCACCCAGCCACCCACCATGCGTCCCATCCCACCCCATTCCACCCACCATGACCACACCCGTAGCTCAAGAGAGCACTAGGTAATACGAGAGGAGTTTGAAGCAGAGGGCCATACTTACCAATCTAGGTCCTAGACAAGACGGCCTAGTGCCCAAGTTGGGGTGGATGAACCACCCAACCCTCGTGGGGTGGGTGGCGAACTTGCTACCCCAACCCCAACTTGGGGTCAGCCAACTTTAGCAAGTTGGGGTGGATAAGCCACCCAACCCTCGTGGGGTGGGTGCCGAACTTGCTACAGTTGGCTGGCCCATCACATGCGCCATAACTTTTGAGATGTCTCAAAACTTGCTACAGTTGGCTGGCCCATCACATGCGCCACAAATTCATAATGGCTGGACACCCCCCCCCCCCCTGGTTCAGCAAGACTAAAGACTAATTTTAGGATGGGAGATTGGGGTTCACCCCAACCCAAGTAGGGAGTTTACCCACTCTACACCCACATCTAGAGCATGCATGTATGAGTATCTTCTAACAAGTTCACCTGTGCTGCTGCGGCACGTGGAGCAGGCAAGTGGGGCAGCCCAGCAGTGGGTTCACTGGTCTCTCCAGGGCCTCCAGTGCCGTGCATTCCATTCCCCCCTACTCACCTCCACGCTCTCCGCCATGTCCTCCCGTCCCAGGCCACGGCAGTGCATCTGTGCTGTGGCACGTGGGGCAGCCTAGCAGTGGGCTTCTTTGCGTCGCCAGCAGCAGTGCAGCGCACCTACCAGTTCTCTGACCCCGTGCCCTGTGGGCTCTTCTATGGCTGTGGTGGCTCACAGCTGCTCGTGCAGGTGAGCTCTGGTGGAGGGGTTATCTGCTCGTGCAGGTGAGTGTCGACTCACCTTATTAATTTCTGACGCGCCTCAAAAGGTCCTCCTCAAGCAATTTCTGAGGTGCCTTAAAAAAGGGATGGCGTGCTTCGAACACGCCAGCCAGCCTGCACAGAAAGTGGCGAGAGGGCTTGTGGTTGCAACGCGGGTCGTTTGGGGCATGAGTTGGGGGATACTTGCAATGCAATCACAAAGGGGCCCCATGTCGTGTCATCTTTCGTCACATTACGGAACGTCACATCGCGATACATCACGTCATGACGCATCACGTCATGTCACATGTTAACTTGTCATGTCATGTAATGTCATGTCATGACACGTCATTCCCATGATGTTGTTCTACCGCAATCGTGGAATGTCGCTGCCAGTGTGCTCTGCTCCTTCTTGCCCTCCCATCCTCCTCCTCCAGATTTTTCTCTTTCGAACCTCCCCCCGTCTCTCTCCTCGAGTGCAGATCCTGGGCCTGCTATTGGTGTACGCATGGGTGGGCCTCTCGTCGTTTGTGCTGTTCTACGCGCTGCACTATTTTGACGTGCTGCGAGTCAAGAGGCACGAGGAGGAGGTGAGACGGAAAAGAAGAGGCATGCTACGAGATGCCTGAGAGAGCATCGTTTGTCTGTCACGGATGGGAGTGTGTGAGATGGGAGGACAGGAGAGAAGGGAATAGAGGATGTTTTTGGGCCTGGAAAGGGGACATAGCTGGTGACGCATGGTTTGTTTGCTTCATTCTTCCTTCATTTAAATGATAAAGTTTTCTAAGCGCCACTAAATTCGTTGCAATTGCTTGTTAAGCTTCAACCTTCAATTAAATGTATCATCAAACCCAGAAAGACGTCTGCTGGCTGGTGTACAGGCTTGCGGTCACTCTGGTTTTCATTAATTAATTGTGTATATAGATTCGTTCATCGATAATTCTAATTCTTTCAGCTTGATTTGCATACAAGTTTTCCTCTCACTTCACTCTATGATTCAACAGCCCTTGCTGCCCCTAGGTTTGGTTGGTTTGCGTCAGATCCAAAGTGTTACTGCATTTCCTCACTCAACTCGACTGTGTACATCTCTTCCCCCCTCTGCTTCCATGTGAGGTGGGCTTGGACGTGCCATTCCACGAGGGCAATGTTGATGACAAGTTTTGAGCCAACTGAAAGCTTGACTGTGTGCATCTCTCTGCTGCTCCTCCTCTCCCTCCCCCTCTCTCTCTCCCTCTCTCTGCGCACAGGTGGGCTTGGACGTGGCATTCCACGGAGGCAACGACGATGACGAGGCGTTCGATGTAGTTGAGGATGGCGACAGCATGGCACGGAGACTGCTGACGTGGCGCAAGCTGCAGGTGGGGGAAAAAGCACCTGCGTGTGCTGAACTGGTTTATATGTCCTTGCTGGGAGGGATAGCTGCTGATGTGGCTGCATCAGCTTTGGGCCGATTGGCTTATGGCTGTACCTCTTGAGGTGACTTTTGGCTTATGGAGTTCTTATCCCTGTGCTCTTTCGTGCTACCATCTTTGCTATCCTGGATGCACTCACCCTCATATTGACTTCTCTCTGGCGACTTCTTTCCTTAGCGCCTTCACACGTGTGTGGCATGCGACTCCTTATTCGGCTGTTACAAAGTTGCATGCCACACTCTATTTCTTGTACACTGTGATGAATTTGGTTGTTACAAGTTGCAACGTATTCCCGCCCGCCCGCCTTCCGCTCTCATCTGACCTGTGGCGTCTCTTTTTATTTCTCATTTTCATTCCTTTCTTTCTTTCTGCCTCCAGCCTCTCACCTCTATCAGCAAAACTCCTGCCACGACATTCCCTCTTGCAATGCTCTCATTCACCACCTGATCAAGCCCATCCCAAAAACTGTCTCTCTCGTCTCCTGCTCCTGATGCTTCTACTGGTGGTACTCCTGCTTCTGTTGCTCCTGCTGTTCCTGTTGTTGGTGCTGCTGGTGCTGCTTGTGCATCTGTTATTCCCCCCTCCTCCTCCCTTCCCTCCGGTCCTGCAACCAGCATGTTTCAGCACTCTTCTCCAGAGCAGCAGCCAAGAACACCAACCGCCACAACGGATATAATGTTTTAGGCCCCTCAACCCCATCCCCCTCACCTCATCCCCTTCCTGTTCGGCAACCAGCACGTCTCAGCGCTCTTCTTGCGAGCAGCAGCCAAGAACACCAGCCGCCACAACGGGTATAATGTCTTAGGCCCCTCAAACCCTCCCCCCCTCTTCCCCCTTTCCATCCCCTTCCCCTACACAACCGGCACGTCTCAGTGCTGTTTTCCCGAGCAGCAGCCAAAAACACCAGTCGCCACAACGGGTATAATGTCTTGGGCCCCTCAAACCCTCCCCCCCTCTTCACCCCCTCCATCCCCTTCCCCTACACAACCAGCACATCAGCGCGCTTTTCTCCCGAGCAGCAGCCAAGAACACCAGCCGCCACAACGGGTATAATGTCTTAGGCCCCTCAAACCCTCCCCCCCTCTTCACCCCCTCGATCCCCTTCCCCTACACAACCAGCACATCTCAGCGCTCTTCTTGCGAGCAGCAGCCAAAAACACCAGTCGGCACAACGGGTATAATGTCTTCGGCCCCTCAAACCCTCCCCCCCTCTTCACCCCCTCCATCCCCTTCCCCTACACAACCAGCACATCAGCGCGCTTTTCTCCCGAGCAGCAGCCAAGAACACCAGCCGCCACAACGGGTATAATGTCTTGGGCCCCTCAAACCCTCCCCCCCTCTTCACCCCCTCCATCCCCTTCACATTACACAACCAGCACATCTCAGCGCTTTTCTCGCGAGCAGCAGCCAAGAACACCAGCCGCCACAACGGGTATAATGTCTTAGGCCCCTCAAACCCTCCCCCCCTCTTCACCCCCTCCATCCCCTTCCCCTACACAACCAGCACATCTCAGCGCTTTTCTCGCGAGCAGCAGCCAAGAACACCAGCCGCCACAACGGGTACGGCCCGACGGGGGCGGCAGGCAGGGGTGGCAAGGGGGGCGGCAGGGGGGGTGGCAAGGGGGGCAGCCTGAGCCAGCTGGCGCAGAGCCTGCACCCCAAGGGGTGGAACGTGCGGGAGAGGAAGGCGCGGCGGCCCGTGTGGCACAAGGCGCTTGAGAGCACACACCTGGGGCGATTCTCGCTGGCCATGTATGAGGCCAACTATATCATGGAGGACACTGTTGAGGTGAGTGCAGTCAGTAGAGTGCGTTGGTTTCGTGGTTGTTGGTTGACTTGAAACTCAGCCCGTGTGGCACAAAGCGCTTGAGAGGAGAGCACGCACCTGGGGCGATTCTCGCTGGCCATGTATGAGGCCAACTATATCATGGAGGACACTGTTGAGGTGAGTGCACTGAACTGAATGTGCAGAGGAGGGGCAGGTGCAGGGCCAGTAGCGAGCATGTTGGTTGGGCGATTCTCGCTCGCCATGTACGAGGCCAACTATATTATGGAGGACACTGTTGAGGTGAGTGTGCACTGGGTTGGTTTTGTGGTTGTTGGATCAGTTTCTTTGTTGTGATTACACTGGAAACTGGAAACTCGGCCCGCGTTCTCGCTGGCCATGTACGAGGCCAACTATATCATGGAGGATACTGTGGAGGTCAGTGCAGTGCATTGGTTTCTTGATTGTAAGTCAACTGGAATCTCGGCGCATGTGCAACAAGGCCCTTGCGTGAGCACACACGCTGCTCTCTCCTCTTCTCTTCTCCTACGCGTGGCTCAGGTCTTTTTGTTGAGCATTGATGGTCGATGTGTTATTATCCCATCTCCTTGCTGTGTGTGCATGTGCACAGGTGCAATCATCGAGCCGTGGGGTGTTCATTGGTATTCACGATGGGCACAATGGGAGCGAGGCCGCGGAGTTTCTACGTGAAACACTATACAACAACATCATGAGTGAGTGGTGTACGACAATTGTGGTTGTCCATACACAATACAACATCATGAATGAGTAAGCACTATACAACATCATGAATGAGTAAGCACTATACAACATCATGAATGAGTAAGCACTATACAACATCATGAATGAGTAAGCACTATACAACATCATGAATGAGAAAGCACTATACAACATCATGAATGAGTAAGCACAGTACAACATCATGAATGAGTAAGCACTATACAACATCATGAATGAGTAAGCACTATACAACATCATGAATGAGTAAGCACAGTACAACATCATGAATGAGTAAGCACAGTACAACATCATGAATGAGTAAGCACAGTACAACATCATGAATGAGTAAGCACTATGCAACATGATGAATGAGTAAGCACTGTACAACATCATGAATGAGTAAGCACTATACAACATCATGAATGAGTAAGCACAGTACAACATCATGAATGAGTAAGCACAGTACAACATCATGAATGAGTAAGCACAGTACAACATCATGAATGAGTAAGCACTGTACAACATCATGAATGAGTAAGCACTGTACAACATCATGAATGAGTAAGCACAGTACAACATCATGAATGAGTAAGCACTATACAACATCATGAATGAGTAAGCACTGTACAACATCATGAATGAGTAAGCACTGTACAACATCATGAATGAGTAAGCACTGTACAACATCATGAATGAGTAAGCACAGTACAACATCATGAATGAGTAAGCACAGTACAACATCATGAATGAGTAAGCACAGTACAACATCATGAATGAGTAAGCACTATACAACATCATGAATGAGTAAGCACAGTACAACATCATGAATGAGTAAGCACAGTACAACATCATGAATGAGTAAGCACAGTACAACATCATGAATGAGTAAGCACAGTACAACATCATGAATGAGTAAGCACTGTACAACATCATGAATGAGTAAGCACTGTACAACATCATGAATGAGTAAGCACAGTACAACATCATGAATGAGTAAGCACTGTACAACATCATGAATGAGTAAGCACTGTACAACATCATGAATGAGTAAGCACTGTACAACATCATGAATGAGTAAGCACTGTACAACATCATGAATGAGTAAGCACTGTACAACATCATGAATGAGTAAGCACTGTACAACATCATGAATGAGTAAGCACTGTACAACATCATGAATGAGTAAGCACTGTACAACATCATGAATGAGTAAGCACTGTACAACATCATGAATGAGTAAGCACTGTACAACATCATGAATGAGTAAGCACTGTACAACATCATGAATGAGTAAGCACTGTACAACATCATGAATGAGTAAGCACTGTACAACATCATGAATGAGTAAGCACTGTACAACATCATGAATGAGTAAGCACTGTACAACATCATGAATGAGTAAGCACTGTACAACATCATGAATGAGTAAGCACTGTACAACATCATGAATGAGTAAGCACTGTACAACATCATGAATGAGTAAGCACTGTACAACATCATGAATGAGTAAGCACTGTACAACATCATGAATGAGTAAGCACTGTACAACATCATGAATGAGTAAGCACTGTACAACATCATGAATGAGTAAGCACTGTACAACATCATGAATGAGTAAGCACTGTACAACATCATGAATGAGTAAGCACTGTACAACATCATGAATGAGTAAGCACTGTACAACATCATGAATGAGTAAGCACTGTACAACATCATGAATGAGTAAGCACTGTACAACATCATGAATGAGTAAGCACTGTACAACATCATGAATGAGTAAGCACTGTACAACATCATGAATGAGTAAGCACTGTACAACATCATGAATGAGTAAGCACTGTACAACATCATGAATGAGTAAGCACTGTACAACATCATGAATGAGTAAGCACTGTACAACATCATGAATGAGTAAGCACTGTACAACATCATGAATGAGTAAGCACTGTACAACATCATGAATGAGTAAGCACTGTACAACATCATGAATGAGTAAGCACTGTACAACATCATGAATGAGTAAGCACTGTACAACATCATGAATGAGTAAGCACTGTACAACATCATGAATGAGTAAGCACTGTACAACATCATGAATGAGTAAGCACTGTACAACATCATGAATGAGTAAGCACTGTACAACATCATGAATGAGTAAGCACTGTACAACATCATGAATGAGTAAGCACTGTACAACATCATGAATGAGTAAGCACTGTACAACATCATGAATGAGTAAGCACTGTACAACATCATGAATGAGTAAGCACTGTACAACATCATGAATGAGTAAGCACTGTACAACATCATGAATGAGTAAGCACTGTACAACATCATGAATGAGTAAGCACTGTACAACATCATGAATGAGTAAGCACTGTACAACATCATGAGTAAGCACTGTACAACATCATGAATGAGTAAGCACTGTACAACATCATGAATGAGTAAGCACTGTACAACATCATGAATGAGTAAGCACTGTACAACATCATGAATGAGTAAGCACTGTACAACATCATGAATGAGTAAGCACTGTACAACATCATGAATGAGTAAGCACTGTACAACATCATGAATGAGTAAGCACTGTACAACATCATGAATGAGTAAGCACTGTACAACATCATGAATGAGTAAGCACTGTACAACATCATGAATGAGTAAGCACTATACAACATCATGAATGAGTAAGCACTGTACAACATCATGAATGAGTAAGCACTATACATCACCATGAATGAGTAAGCAGTGTACAACAGTTTGGAGTGGCTCGGCGCTTGCTCCAAGGCGAGTGCATCGAGGGCAACGGAGCTTCAGTGATCTCGCTCGCACTAACTCCCTTCTTTGTCGTATCTCACCTCCTCCCCTCACCGCCACTCACCCCCTCTTTCACCCCTCGTCACCCCTCTGTCCTCAGGCGAGTGCACGGAGGGCAATGGGGTGTCAGTGGAGGCGTTGCGGCGGGGCTTTGACGCGACAGAGAGGCAGCTGGCAGCGATTGTGAGGGAGGCGTTTGAGAGCCCGCTCCTGGCCATGGTGGGCGCGGCTGCCCTCATGCATCACCCCCACCGCTCTTCACCCCTTTCCACCTCTTGACCCGTCTGCTCCCAGGCGAGTGCACGGAGGGCAACGGGGTGTCAGTGGAGGCGTTGCGGCGGGGCTTTGACGCGACGGAGAGGCAGCTGGCGGCCATTGTGAGGGAGGCGTTTGAGGAGAGCCCGCACCTGGCTATGGTGGGGGCATGCTCTGTGGCTGCCATCATCACCCCCCTTCACTCCCCTTCACCCCTTTTCATCCCTCTTCAAACTTTTGCACCCCTCTGACCCCAGGCGAGTGCACAGAGGGCAACGGGGTATCAGTAGAAGCGCTGCGGAGGGGCTTTGACGCGACAGAGAGGCAGCTGGCGGCCATTGTGAGGGAGGCATTTGAGGAGAGCCCGCACCTGGCCATGGTGGGGGCATGCTCTGTGGCTGCCCTCATCACCCCCACTGCCATCTGGGTCGCCAATGTGGGCGACTGCCGCGCCGTGCTGGGCCAGGTGGGTCTGATCGTGGGCAGGGCCTGGTTGCATGCAGCTGGGCAGGCTGGTCTGTGTGATCGTGTGTGCGGCCGTGTGCGGGCAGGCTGCTGCTTGTTCTCTAATGCACATCAAGAGCTGCTGCACCGAGCTGGTCTAGGCGCGATTAGAGATTTCTCAAGTCAAGGGCTGTGCTCTCCGACTGGGTGCTCTCCGGCTGGGTGCTCTCCGGCTGGGTGGTCTCATCTCATCACCCCCTCCGCCATCTGGGTCGCAATGTCAGCGACTGCCGCGCAGTGCTCGACGAGGTGTGTCTGGTTGTGGGCAGGCTGCTGCTTGTTTCTCTAATGTGCATCAAACGCTGCTGCTTGTTGCTCGGCCAAAGTGGTTTTTTGTCATGGGCTCTGCCAACCAATGTATTAGTCCCTCGAAACCCCGCTGAATTCCAGCATGATCAGCATCACTCCGTATGGTATGCCGACAATGTATGTATGGCCGGCATTCGCATCTCTCCTTGTGAAAGAAGGGTGGCTTTGAGACGTCTCAAAACCTCCCTTCTTTCACGTGGCTTCTTATATGGTCTGCAAATGCCTCCCCCCCGGCTGTCAGCCTCGCAGCGCACCTATGCTGTTATCGGTGCAACGGTTGTTAAGTCTTCTAGTTCCAAACCCTCGAGTTGTGTGCATCGTTTCGTTCAGCAGCCACTCTGCATGGATCACCACTCTGTGATTGTGAATCCTGTTGTTGTGCGTCTTGTATTGCAGCTCATCTTGCTTCTGCGATAGATGTTCCGTGAGCTTATGTGTAGCAAGGAATAGGTGTTTCTTTGCTCATGTTAGCGGATTCGTGAAGACTGGAAAGGTTATGATTCCGTCCCGGAACCACTTGTAATCTGCCTTTAATACTACTACGCTTACCTACACGTGTTCTCGCCTAGGACTCAGTGATTTTTACTACTCAAGATTAGTTAGGTCGGTCGAACCGAGCTTGCAGCTTTCTACCCGTTTTCTTCGTTTGAGAGCACGGGGCCCTCCAGCCAATGGGCGTAGTTGCACGGGCCCTCCAGCCAATGGGCGTAGTTGCACGGGGCCCTCCAGCCAATGGGCGTAGTTGCACGGGGCCCTCCAGCCAATGGGCATAGTTGCACGGGGCCCTCCAGCCAATGGGCATAGTTGCACGGGGCCCTCCAGCCAATGAGCGTAACCACAACCTGTCAGTGCCTCCTCTTTCCCCTCCCCTCCCATCCCCCCACCTTCCCCCTCCCCCTCGCCCTCACTGTCCCCCTGCCCCTACCCCACCCCCCCCCGTCCAAGCAGGTGCGGCAAGTGTCAGACGGGGTGGGTGGAGTGTCGGGCAGTGCAGCTATCCACAGACCACAACCTATCAGTGCCGGCCATTCGAGAGAAGTACATCGCCGAGCATGCTGACATGCCCTCCCCACGCCCCCCCCCGTCCCTCAATTCACACACACCAAGCAGGTGCGGCAAGTGTCAGACGGAGTGGAGTGTCGGGCAGTGCAGCTATCCACAGACCACAACCTGTCGGTGCCGGCCATCCGAGAGAAGTACATCGCAGAGCATGCTGACATGCCCTCCCCACGCCCCCTTCGTCCCTCAATTCACACACACCAAGCAGGTTCGGCAAGTGTCAGATGGGGTGGAGTGTCGGGCAGTGCAGCTATCAACAGACCACAACCTATCAGTGCCGGCCATCCGAGAGAAGTACATCGCCGAGCATGCCGACATGCCTGACGCCGTTGTTGAGCGCCGCGGCCGCTTCCGCGTCAAGGGCAAAGTCATGGTGAGCTATTTGTGGTGAGGGGACGAGGTGTTTGTGGTGAGGGGACGAGGTGTTTGTGGTGGGGGTACGAGCCAAGTCACTTGTACATCAGTCAATTTACATCCGCAGGCATGTGATTCCAAATCACCAACTCCGGTTCATCCGATGCCCTTCTCCAGTGTCTTTAACAAACATCCCCTCCTTGTGCCCTTTTTATGTGCCCGCCTGTTTCCAATTTATAAGAAGCCCCATCTCTCTCTGCTTCTGTCCCTACTCCCTCCTCCCTCCACCTCTTTCCCCCCACCGCAGGTCACCAAGGCCTTTGGAGACCTGTATCTGAAATCCACCGACTTCAATCGAGAGCCCCTTGTCTCGCGCTTCCGAGTGCCCGAGCCCTTCAACCCGCCGCTCATCTCAGCAGACCCCTCCGTGGCCGTGCGCGTCTTCTCTCCGCACGACTCCTTTGTCATCGTGGCCTCGGACGGGCTGTTTGAGTTCCTCTCCAACCAGGAGGCCGTCAACATCGTCGCAAGCAGCCCTAAGAAGGTGTGTAGTAGTAGTAGTGTGGTGCAGAGCGGTGCAGAGGGGCTGGCGGGCTGTCATCGTGGCCTCGGATGGGCTCTTTGAGTTCCTCTCCAACCAGGAGGCCATCAACATCGTCGCGAGCAGCCTCAGGAAGGTCAGTCCTGCTGTTTCCCCCTTTCTTTTTTCAGGCAGCTTGAGTAGCAACCGTGTAACCAGGCAGTTCAAAATTTTAATCAAGCCGAGGACTGTCATTGAAGCCCAAGGTTCCTCTTAGTAAGGTAGTTCCCAAGGATTTTTGTCCTCATCCTTACCAATGCCTAAACCTTAAACCATTGCCACTTTCCTCAACAATGCCACCATTGCTTCCACTGCTTGCACTGCCGCCCTTTGCTACAGGACGTGGCTCGCCAGCTAATCCGGACGGCGCTGCAGCGGGCGGCAGAGAAGACGGAGATGCTGTACAGCGACCTGCTGCGCATGCCGTCCGGGCAGCGGCGGGACTACCATGATGACATCAGCGTTGTCGTCTTCTTCCTGGACCATGACGCCATGCGCCGCTCCTCCCACAGCTTCTGGAAGAAGGTGAGCCGTTCGTGAAACATTCTCAAACACAAACAAACAACCCCCTTCCCCGCACCCCCCCAAAGAAAAAAGAGCAAGTAGGAGGGCCATTGATCATTAAAGCAAGACAGTGAGCCATTAATATCAAAACATCGGAAGCAGGTGAGTTGCTAGTAAGATTAAATTAAATGTGTCTCTCCGGGGACACCATGCGTTCCATCGATTTAATTCCGGTGACCCCATGACCCATGACTTGAAGCCAAAGAACCATTCCCGGGCCATGCGCCATGTGCCAGCTGAGCCATGCTCCCTCTTCCACCATCGTTTTCCCCGGGACGTGCAAGAAGGTGGCTCCACACTCACCTCCTTCCACCCCCCCTCCCCTCCCCCTACCCTCCCCCTTCCCCTCCGCTTGCCCTCCCTCACCCACCTCCCCGCCCCTCCCGAGGGTGTGTCCATAAAGGGGAACACCGCCCTCACCATCTTCTCTCTTCCCCTCCCCTTGTACACCCTCCCTCTCTTGTACCCCTCCCCGCCTCCTCCCCCCCAGGACGTGTCTATAAAGGGTGGCTCCGCCGCCTCCTCCCTCCTCGCCGCCCCCACAATCTCCGGTGCTGACGTGCACAACATCTCCAGCATGCGTGGCGCCACGTCAGCGCGCGACGCGCTGGCCGTCGCGCGGGCGCAGCAGCAGGGGGAGGCTTCACCTCACGGCAGTGCCAGCTGGCAGGCAGGCTCGGTTTCCGAGGCGCTTCAATGGCAGGGCAGCGCCACGTGGCAGGCAGGCACAGGTTCCGAGGTGCTTCTAAAGCAGAGCAGCGGCATGTGGCAGGCAGGCTTGGGGGAAGTAGGAGGGGAGGTTCTAACACAGGGCAGTGAGTGGGAAGCAGCGACACAGAACAGCATGGGTAGGGGACACGCGGGGGAAGGGAGTGGATTTGTTAGAGCGGGTGGGTCGGGGAGTGGTAGAGGGGGGGCGTGGAGGGAGGAGGATAGGAGCATGTCTGGGAGCCGCCGGTATCCTGATGCGCTGGCGGGGCTGACTGTGCCTGAGGATGCGGCAGTGGATGTCAGCCAATTAGGGCCCGCCAGCTCATTTGTTGATGCGAGCGCGAGAGCGCTGCTTGACTAACTGACGTGGCGGTTTGCTGCTCAAGTGGGGGATGGACTGCCAGGGGCCTCCGTGGTATGATGACAGGAGGGTTGTGATATGGGGGGACTTGGTGGGTTGGTCTGGCGCTGATGTTTAGTTCGGAGGGATGCCGTGGATCCAAAACAAACAAGCGTGCGTGCGTGCGTGTTGTGCCTTGATGAAAATGAAATAAAATGACAATGGACATACCATAAGCACTTGTTTGGTGGCCCCTAGGGCCAATCAGATACTGCAATTTTATAACAAATGATGCTTACAATAGTATACAACAGAACCACCAGGGTAAGAGACAGGAAGAGTGACCATTTGGATTGATGCAAATCTGGTCTCATAATTTGAGATACACAATGTAAGTGTGATTATTATCCAGCTTTTGGGGCTGCAGTTTTAGCAGCAAGCTTTCAAGAAGTGTACAAACGGGTGCTCCGCGTTGGGTCAAAGAGCTCAGTTGGGTGCTTGCCTGCGGTTTTCGTTGACAGGGCAAGTCTGCAACTACGGTCCAGTTCTGGGCATCAAGTTGCGTCGCTCAACCGTCAAATCCACTGTCATGCACGATTTTCCCGCGTCGGGTTACTGCACCGTCGAGAAATGTCGTCCGCTCTCCTTACATATTGCAACACAGTGCGAATAAGACGCTGTCGCTTTCGCCAAAGCTACGCACCTTGTCGCTGCCCCGTGTTTACTGTAGGTATCAAATCCAGCTTGATACGGAACGGAACGGTAACCCGGTTTGCGAAGCTACCCAGTGGTCCTATCTTCCTCTGTATCAAGTCGCCCGCTGTTAGCCATGGCTGAGTGATGGTCCTCCAATCCGTACAGCACTTCGTTCCCTTGCTAACTTTCGCGCCTTCGGGAAGTGGTTCCACACCACACCCACAGGTGCGCTACCCAGCAGTCGCCCTAAGGACCAAAGCAAAGCAAAGTGCGCCACGCCACGCCATAACCGCTGCACTGCGCCACATAGCCGTAACGGTGGTCGGCATTGCTGCATAACCGTGACGTTTTTTCGCGCACGCGCCCTAGGGACGTCTCCCCATGCCACGCCCGAGCACGTGACAGTCAAATTGTACAGTCAAGAGTTAAGAAAGCGGCGGTTTAGCTTAGGTCACTGTCCTTCGCCATCAGCTCGTAAGGCCTTGCACGCGCGCAACAGTGGTCTGCCGTAAGTCCCAGCAGCAGTGAGCTCGGAGCGTCGCCAGCTAAAGCATCGGGCCCAATGCCAGTCACCATCGGCCACCGTATGAAAACAGCTCTACGCTTTTCCCGCCGTTTCCATTCCTCACTCTCCTTTCCATCGCCACGCCTCTTACTTTACTTTTCTAGACCCTCGCGTCTTCTTTGTTATTTGCACCAAGTGTCCCCACCTGTTTTCCATGCGCGTTTCCATTCTGCTTACCGTTTCGTATCATACGGCCCTGCTTTCCGAACCTGTTTTAACTGTCTACTTGCCGTGCCTCAACGTGTTTCCTAGGTACCAATGCTTCTTTTCCCTCCCCTTTTGTTTTCCCGTCTACCCTGTCACATCTTTTCGCGCCAGTCATCTAACCACTTCAAACCCTTATCTTTTTCCTTGTCCGTCTCTGCTTCCCACCCCTGCCATCCCGCAACCCCGCACCTCCGCAACTCCGCACCCCCGCAACCCCGCAACGCGCAGCGGTGGAGCCCAACGGAGAGTTAGTACCGCCAACGGGCCTCTCCACCAATCCCAGCCCGTCCAGCGAGAGCGGGAGCGCCCGCTCCTTCAAGCCCGTGCGCACGAAGGAGCCGCGCAAGTCCTCCTCCGCCGCCGCCTCCTCGTCGCGCGCGTCGCGCGCCTCGCAGCCAGGCAGCCTTCGCGTGCCCAAGTCGCCTCGCTCCAATACCTCCTCCTCCTCCCCTGACCAACCTACTACTACGAACGCCGTAGACCAATCCGGTACTCGCGAGCAGTCCGCGCGGAGCGGCGGCGCGCAAAGCGGCGGAAGCACCCGCCGGTCGCGCCATAAGGCGAACTCTTCCGCGGACTCGCTGTCGAGCGCTTCCGCAGTCACCACGGCGTCGGACGATGGCGCGAGCGACGCGGCGGAATTAGCAGCAGCTCCCGCGGAACCTCCTTCCACCGCCGCCTCGTCCGCGCCTTCCGCTACCGCGCCTTCCCGTAAGAACGCCGCTGCGAGAAAGGAGCGGGCGGCGGAGCGGGAGGGGGACGAGGAGGGTGGGAACGGGGGAGAGGGGGAGGACGTTGGCGCGGGAGAGCGGGAGGGGGGAGGGGAAGAGGAGGAAGACGAGGACGAGGCACCGGCTTTGCAGCGCGTGCATCGATCCACCACGGCTCCGCATTACGAGCGCGTTAAAGGCGCCGCCGCCGCGGACGAGCCGCGGCCGATGCGTGTGAGCACGAGCTACGACGCGCGGGGCAAGCGAGGGCTGTTACTTTCGCCGAACACACATCGCGTGGTTTCTTTCGCCAGCGACGTGAAGCTACCTGAAGGGTTTGACGGCGAGGATGCCGAAGCGTTTAGTCGCAACAGCACGGGGGGGTTGATGGGGTACCAACAGGTTGGGGGCTTGCCGCGCCCGTTATCGGCACCTTCGTTAATAGCGCAACTGAACTCGATGCTGACGCCGTCGAGATCCGTGGGGAGTTTCGCGGAGAGCGTTGGTGCCAGCGGTATCGCGGTGTACGTGGGTCCCAAGGTGCGTTCGGAGTTTGCATGCGTTTTGATGTTTATTCATGATAAAAATCACTGTTTTGATATTTACGCCAAGTACGAGAGTATCAATCACGGAAGTGTAATACGAAGCAATTAGGGTTCAGTCGTGTACTCGTAGACTTCATAAAATACGCCATGTGGTAGCTTTGTACGCAAATTTTGCTCCCTGTTGCCCTTTTCCTCCTTAGTTTGCGCTGTTGTCACTGCCCTCGTATCTCTCTCTTCTACTTTCCCTTCTCTTCGCCCTTATCTTATCAGTTCTCCTTTCCCTTCGTCCGCCATCTTATGCCTCTCCCCCTTTCATGCTCCATCAACCCTCATGCCATTTCTCCGCTCATGCCCTCCCCCCCCATCATGTCTCCCCCCTCATGCACCTTAATGCCCCCTCACTCCTCCACCTCCCCCCCCCATTTCTCTGCCTCGTGCCTTTCCCTCCATTCCACCCCTCCAATGCCTCCAAGTTTTCATGCACCCCCCATAGTGTCTCCCCATCATGCCCCCCCCATAGTGTCTCCCCATCATGCCCCCCCCATAGTGTCTCCCCATCATGGCCCCCCCATAGTGTCTCCCCATCATGCCCCCCCCATAGTGTCTCCCCATCATGCCCCCCCCATAGTGTCCCCCCATCATCCCCCCCCCCCCCATAATGTCCCTCCCTCACGCCCCCCTCGTAATGTCCCTCCCTCATGCCCCCCCCCATAGTGTCCCGCCCTCCCTCATTCCCCCCCATAGTGTCGCCCCCTCATGCCTTCCCCATGGTGACTCCCCTCATGCGTCCCCACTTCCTGCCTCAACCCTCGTGTTTCCCCCTCATACCCTCCTTTCATGACTCCCCCCCTTCATGGCTCCCCCCTTGTGTCCTCCCTATTGTGTCTTTTCCCCTCGTGTCCTCCCTATCGTGTCTTTCCCCCTTCATACCTCCCCCAGTGCGACCTCCCCCTCATGCCTCCCCCGCGTGACCAAACCCCAGTGCTGCTCATGAAGATCCCCGTCTTCCCCCTCGTGCCTCCCCCAACATGCCTCCCCAATCATACCCGGGCCCCCTGCTCCCCCACTTTTCCCATCCCCTCCAGATGCAACTGTTCCGTGTGACCAGGGCGCTGCTCATGAGGATCCTTTTCTTCCCCCATCATGAATTCCCTCGTGCCCCGCCCCCCTTACTCTTCCCCCCCTCTACCTCCCCCCCCCCCCCCCTCCCCCCCCCAGATGCAACTGTTCCGCGTGACGAGGGCGCTGCTCATGAAGATCCCCTTCTTCCGCAAGCAGCTGGAGACCACCGCGCCAGATGGCAAGCTGCAGGTGACGTGGCATCTGATGACGTGGCATGGAATGACGTCACGTGATGTGTGTGGTTGTGGTGCGTGGCATGGTACGGTGGCGCATTTGGTGGCAAGGCATGGTGTGCTGTGTAATTTGGTTTGGTGTCGTGTGGTTTAGTGCAGTGTGCTGGGGTGTGGCGTGCTGGGCTGTGGTATGTTGCTGCATTCAGCCATGCCATGGAACGGCATTATATGTCCAGCCTCATGAAAACATCACCCCAGGCATGAAAGCAAGGCTTCTTCGTGTGCGGTGCCCGCCTGCCGGCAGGGTTTTCCACGTGCATATAAGAACAAAACCCAGTAACCGTTCCCACGTTGCCTTGCGCCTCTGTCGCAGCAGTGATGTGAATGAACTCTGATGCGCCTCAAACAGAAGAACGGGCAGAAGAAAGATCAAAAGAAGGAAGGAGGGGAGGGGGGGGGGGGGGGGAAGCCCCCGGTCTCACCGTGTGTGTGTGTGTGGGGGCCGTGCTATGGCAACTGGCCTCAGAGAAGGCATGCATCGGGAGGTGTCGTTCATGCTGGACTGCTCTTGATCTGCACTCCTTCAAACGTCTGCATGCATGCACTCCTCCTGAGACGTGCGGTGTCTCAATTTCCCCCTGTGTGGACAACCCCCCTGTGTGCCCTCTCCCTGCATGCATGCATACAGACACCAGAGGATGGATGGATGCATCGGAGGACGAGGAGGTGTCGTTCATTCATGCTGGCCTGCTCTTGAACCGCACTGCAACGCTTCATTTCATACGTTTACATGCGTCGGAGGACGTCAGATGCGGCTCGTGTCACAACCCCCCCCCCCCCCCCCCCCCCCCCCCCCTTCCCCTGTGTGCCCTGTGCCCTGCATGCGTGCATGCAGGCGCCAGAGGAGGCATCGGAGGATGAGGAGGTGTCGTTCATGCTGGACTGCTATTGATTTGCACTCCTTCAAACGTCTGCATGCACTGCTTCTGAGACGTGTGGTCAACTCCCCCGTGTGATCTCTCCCTGCGTGCATGCAGACACCAGAAGAGGCATCGGAGGATGAGGAGGTGTCGTTCATGCTGGACTGTGATGAGGCCACCTTCTCCCGCGTCCTCACCGTCGTACAGTACCACAGGTACGCCACTGTGCTGCAGGTTTTCGCGCAGGTATGGGCAGTACCACAGGTATTGCGCTGTGCCACAGGTTCGGGCAGTACGGCGCTGTGCCGCAGGTAGCACCGTGCCGCAGGTATGGCTACCGCAGCCACAGGTTCGGCAGTTCCACAAGTGCTGCAGTACCCCAGGCATGGGTGGCGCAGGTACGGTTGGCGCAGGTACGGGTGGCGCAGGTACGGTTGGCGCAGGTACGGGTGGCGCAGGTACGGTTGGCGCAGGTACGGGTGGCGCAGGTATGGCATACCACAGTTATGGCATAACCACTGTTACAGCATTACCACTGGCACTTCTGCAGGTTTGCCAGGATCGGAAGTACGGTGGCATCGGAGGAACGGTATCTATTGCTTCCCATCCCTTGTCTACGCCCCCTGTGCCCCTCAATCAACCCCCCATACCTCCCTTCTCCACCTCCAGTCTGGAAGCCCTGCGCTGCGCTGGATGAGCAGCGGAAATTTCTTCCACCTGCACTCGGAGCTCCACTGTTGGACCCTTGGCATCCATTGCCCCCACCCTTGCGCCCACCCTTTGCACACCCATTGCCCTCCTCCCTCCCCGCCCCACTCCACTCCACTCCACCCCACTCCACCCCCCTTCCCCCCCTGCCCCTGCCTCCCCTCTCCCATGTTCACCCACCCCTCAGCCTGGAGGTTCCGCCATGGGTGAACGATGAGGATTTCTTCCGCCTGCGCTGCGAGCTCCACTGCTTCGTACACCTGCTTCCTTCTCCCCTTCCCCGTACACTTTCCATGTGCTTCTCATCCCCACTTCCTCCCCAATTCCCCAGTCTCGAGGCCCTCACATGGATGAACGGCGAGGATTTCTTCTGCCTGCGCTCGAAGCTCGACTGCTGCTCCTTACCTCACTCCCATTCCCACTCTTCCGCTTCCCCTCCTCCCCCCCTCCCCTCATTCACCACCCATCACCTCCCCCCCAACCAGCCTGGAGGCCCTCCCCTGGATGAACGATGAGGATTTCTTCCGCCTGCGCTCGGAGCTCGACTTCCTCGGCGTCACTCTCCCCCCCGGCTCGCCCTGGCACCACCTGCCCTGGAAGGACGAGTGCAAGGCCGCCGCCGCCTCTGCTGCTGCTGATGCTGATGCTGCTGCTGCTGCCGCATCCAGGGGCTTCTAGGCTGGTCCCTGCATAGCCTAAGGCGTTTCCCCTTCCCCTTTCAAAACCCTCCCTCCCACGACCACCCCCTTCCCCATGGTCTCCAGCCTGGAGGCCCTCCCCTGGATGAATGACGAGGACTTTTTCCGTCTGCGCTCGGAGCTCGATTTTCTCGGCGTCACTCTCCCCCCCGGCTCGCCCTGGCACCACCTCCCCTGGAAGGACGAGCGCAAGGCTGCTGCCGCGTCTGCCGCTGCTGCTGCCGTCGCTGCTACCGCCTCTGCACAGCCTAAGGCATTTCCCCTCTCTCACCATCTCAATCCCCTCCCCCCTCCCCCCAACTAGTCTGGAGGCCCTCCCCTGGATGAACGACGAGGACTTTTTCCGTCTGCGTTCGGAGCTCGACTTCCTCGGCATCACCCTGCCCCCCGGCTCGCCCTGGCACCACCTGCCCTGGAAGGACGAGCGCAAGGCTGCTGCCGCGTCTGCCGCTGCTGCTGCCGTCGCTGCTACCGCCTCTGCACAGCCTAAGGCATTTCCCCTCTCTCACCATCTCAATCCCCTCCCCCTTCCCCCCAACTAGTCTGGAGGCCCTCCCCTGGATGAACGACGAGGACTTTTTCCGTCTGCGTTCGGAGCTCGACTTCCTCGGCATCACCCTGCCCCCCGGCTCGCCCTGGCACCACCTGCCCTGGAAGGACGAGCGCAAGGCTGCTGCCGCCTCCGCTGCTGCTGCCGCCGCCGCTGCTGCGTCTGGCATTCTCAACCCCGCTGCTGCGGCTCTTGCTGCGGGGTATACGTCTAGTTCGGATACGGAGGAGATCAGGGAGGTGCGGGGGGGGGCTGCGGCGGCGGAGGGGGGGATGGCAGGGGGGATGGCGGGGGGAATTGGGGGGGGAATGGCGGGAGGGCTGGCTGGAATGATGGGGGCGATGGTGGGCGGGGGAATGGGCGTCGGGGGAGGAGTGGGAGGCATGGGAGGAGCAGTAGCGGGAGCGGGAGCGGGAATGGGAGGAATGGGAGGAGCGGGTATGGGGGGAAAGGGGTTTGGGACGGGGAGGGCGTCGCTGATAAGTGCAAGGTCTATGGTGCGGCGCAGTGTGGTGGTGGGCGGTGCCGGGCATGAGACGCCTCCTGGGGTGGGAGGCGGGGCAGGAGGGGCGGGAGGAGCAGGAGGAGGAGGGAAGGCGTCGCTAGTGGAGGAAGACAGGCTCGATGTGGTTTACCGGTGAGTGGTTGTTCTGGTAACAGGGTAACCAGCTGCTGCATGTGGTGTGACCGGTGAGTGGGAGGGAAGGGGTTTGGAGTGTGGGGTTTGGGACGGGAAGGGCATCGCTGATCAGTGCACGGTCCTTGGTGCGAAGGAGCGTCGTGGTGGGGGGCGCTGGGCATGAGACGCCTCCGGGGGTGGGAGGGAAGGGGTTTGGAGTGTGGGGTTTGGGACTGGAAGGGCATCGCTGATCAGTGCACGGTCCTTGGTGCGAAGGAGCGTCGTGGTGGGGGGCGCTGGGCATGAGACGCCTCCGGGGGTGGGAGGGAAGGCAAGGGGAGGCGCAGGACCAGGCGCGGCGAAATTGCTGGTGGAGGAGGACAGGCTGGACGTGGTGTACCGGTGAGTGGGTGCAGCGGTAACAGGGTAACCAGCAGGGTGAGCGGGAATTTGAGCCCCCAAACAAAAGTCGTCTCGAGCTTGAGGCACCTCAATAGGAGCGAAATCGCTGGTTGAGGAGGACAGGCTGGACGTGGTGTATCGGTGAGTGGTTGAGCGCTGGTAACCTGGTAACCAGCTGCACGTGGTGGGGTAGCGGTGGGCGGGTGACAGGCTTGAGTGAGTTTTTTACGTGTACTTTTGATTTGCGGCGCCTCAGAAGAAGCGAAATTGCTGGTGGAGGAGGTCAGGTCAGGCTGGACGTGGTGTATCGGTGAGTGCTAGTGCACTGCCAGTCTTGTAACAGGGTAACCAGCTGTATAAGTCGGCGACAGGGTGAGGGGTTTTGAGATGCCTTGAAAATTGTCTCACATTAGAGGGACGTCTGTTCTGTTGGAGCAAGATAGGTGGACGTGGTGTACGGTGTGTGGCCTTCTAGTAACAGGGTAACCATGCTCCATCGTGTTACTGGGGGTGGTTGCACTGGGTACAAGGTAACTGGCTGATGAGCGGGTGTACCTGTAACAGGGTAACCAGCTGCATACGGTGTACGCTGTGCCCTGTGAGAGGGCGTGCATGTGTTGTAAATGGCACCAAGGAGAATTTGGAACCCCCAAAAAGTCCACCCCTGTGCTCTCTCCCACACAGGCACGGCAGCGACACAGCAGCAGCATGCACGTGTCATGGCACCAAGGGGGCGGACGGCCACTCGCACTGGGTGGTGTCTCTCTTCCACGGCCACGTCTTCTGCGCGTGAGTTGGCCTACCCTTCCTCCTATTGCTCTTCCTCTTCCTCTTCCTCTTGTGCATACCCCAACCTCTACCTTTCCTCCCCCTTCAAACTCTCTCTTCCCCTCCCAAATCATCACTTCTCCCACCACCCCACCACCCTGCCATCCCAAACCCATCACCTTCTGCACCCGCGCGCATGGCATCTAACAACCCATCACCCCACCCCACCATCCCATCAACCCTCTCCCACCACCCCACCGCCCTGCCATCCCAAACCCATCACCTTCTGTGGCTGCGCACCCGCGTGGCATCTAACAACCCATCACCCCACCATCCCAACCCATCACCCCACCATCCCATCAACCCCCTCCCACCACCCCACCATCCCAACGCCCATCAGCTTCTGTGGCCATTCCCCCGCGTGGCATCCAAAGCTCTTTGCCGACGTCTTCCTGCTGCTTGCTACCCTCCGCAAGCTTAGTACTTTACCCCCTTCCATCACCAAATTACCCAATCACCCACCCCATCACCCCCTCTTCCACCCATCCGCCCATCAGCTTCTGTGGTCGTTCCCCCGCGTGGCATCCAAAGCTCTTTGCCGACGTCTTCCTGCTCACGGCCCTCCCTCCCGCGCCCACCCAGGTCAGTCACTCCCCTTCTCATCCTCCCCACCCTGAACCCTTTTTCTCTCCCGCTCGTTCCACCACTCACAACAAACACAACACCACCCACCGGCGGGGATGAGTGCGGTTGTGCACTGGGTGGTACCAATATGGCTGCTCGCCTAAACTCTTTTGCCTCCTCGCTTGTTCACCAACCACCACCCACCACCCACCACCCACCACCCACCATCCACCACCACCCACCACCCACCATCCACCACCACCCACCACCCACCATCCACCACCACCCACCACCCACCATCCACCACCACCCACCACCCACCATCCACCACCACCCACCACCCACCATCCACCACCACCCACCACCCACCATCCACCACCACCCACCACCCACCATCCACCACCACCCACCACCCACCATCCACCACCACCCACCACCCACCATCCACCACCACCCACCACCCACCATCCACCACCACCCACCACCCACCATCCACCACCACCCACCACCCACCACCCACCATCCACCACCACCCACCATCCCCCACCACCCACCACCCACCATCCACCACCACTCACCATCCCCCACCACCCACCATCCCCCACCACCCACCATCCCCCACCACCCACCATCCCCCACCACCCACCATCCACCACCACCCACCACCACCAGCGGGGAGCGAATGCGTTTGTGGGGGGGTGGTACTACCACGGCCGCTCCAGCACTCGCCTGGTGAAGCTGCATGGTGTGGCCACCCTTAGAATGGCTGGTCCTCTAAAATTATTTTGCTCCCTTTCCCCTTGTTCACCGCCCACCACCATCAGCGGGGAGCAAACGCGTTTGTGGGAGGGTGGTACTACCACGGCCGCTCCAGCACTCGCCTCGTGAAGCTGCACTGCGTGGTTGGCGCCAGCTGCACCGCCTGCAGGTGAAAACCACAGATCTCAGGTGAATTCATCAGAGCTCAGGAGAAAACAACAGAGGCCACGTGAATGCCACAGAGAGCCTAGTAAGAGAGAGGAAGAGAGACAAAATGGAGAGAAGCGAAAAGTTGCGGTAATCACCTGACAGGTTCCAGGTATGGTATGCTTGTGTTGCTTTTGAAAACATTTAAAAGTAGATGTTTTACGGTTCGCCTCACGTGAGGTCTATGCATGCAGGCATGCGTTTCCAGGTTTCATACGGTATGAGAATGTGTTCTGGTACCTCCCCCCCACCCTCTCCCTCTCCCCCCCCCTTTCCCCCAACCATTTCCCCTTTACAGTTCCAGAGTACGAACATGCTTGCAAGCGTTTCTCATATCAATGCATGCATTTTTCACTCTATGCACATAAACTGGTCCATTGCCTTTTTTAACTCCTCCTCTTCCCTTTGATTCTGTTTCCCTCTGGCCCACAGAGCTAGCATTTGGGGAGTAAGCATCGAGCACAAGCATGCCTTCTGTCTACAGTGCAAAGCTACACCCACCAAGCCAGCTATTATTGCAAAACTCTTTGTGGAAGCCTTGTGCCAGCCTAAGTAGAATAAAGTACAGCCACCTGCATTACTTAACCGGTGGTTCTCAATAGTTAGTGCTCAATTTCTGTGGCTCCTTGCAATGAAACACCACCTTTTCTTAACTGTAGCTGTCACAAATCATTGTGATGCATGTTGTTTTGTTTTAGTGCATACCTGTCATCTTAGAAACACAAGCTTGTCTATAGTACTGCATCTTTTGAAGTATTTAGATAATGTTTGAGGAACAAATCATGTAAGGTTTATAAAGGTAAGCTACCGGACAACAGATACCCGTCCAGGTGGTACATCGAATCTGGCTTATCAAGTAACGACGTTCCTTCACATCTGCAGTCTCCTGAGCAGCTGCGGGCCATGCGTTGGCTGGAGGAGATACTCCATGCATAAGCAAACTACAGGATATTCAACGTGATTGAACCCTCCCTCATCGTCATATTTCAACGATTACAAGATCCTTTGTGTCGGATGAAGTAAATCTACAACTGCTGGCCATGTCCTCCACTGCATCAACCAAGCTGACAAGATTTGGAAAAACTTCAAGCATATTCAACAGGCCCCGCAGTAAAGGAAGAGCAGCTGGGGCAGTGTCACTGTCCGGGGCTGAAGCACTTGCTACCGTTAAAGAAGGAAACCTTTTGGACCCGTGCAAACACTTGGCTTGTCGCAGATGCTCCCTGCAAATGACAGAAAAGTAGATTCAATATGTTAACACCAGAAATAGCAAGCCATTCTTAGTTCGGTGAAGAATGAAATGGTGAGGTGGGGAGATTTAAATTCCATGCACATCAGAGAAAAGGAAAGAGGGAGTGAATAAATAAGCCAGGGATATCGAATGAAAGAGGTGAAACATGAGAATATGGTAAGAGGGAGTGAGGGAGGGGGTGCAACAGTGGATGGTGAAAGATTGCGAAGGAAGATGAAGATTGGGCTGAAGAGGAAAGCGAATGGACAACACAAGTGCGTAACTTACATGCGAGTACTATAGCGTGGAGAGAGTAAACCCTCCATCACCTTGAAATCGGTGGTCCATGCAGTTGGGCTCACGCTCATGTGTGAGCAAGAGCATGGGGTGTCACACGCACTTTCAACTTCCGCTACTGCCTTGAGATGTACGAGCAGCTGCAAGCTGTGTAGAGCCTTTTCCTTCAGCAAGTCATTCTGGGTGTGCAGAAGAGCCAACGCTGGTCTTCCGTCCCAGATAAAATTCTCCATGGACACAGCTAGCATCATTACAACCCTGTACAGTAAAATAATAAATATTGAGGGGTTACAATGACAAGTGCTGATCATTACTGTGCTTTTCAGATTATTGCATGGACATACCTTGAACACTCATGCAGCAGGTTCCTCATCTCCGCTCCCAGATCCTGCTCCAGAGAGGTATATCCTTGAAAAACAGCATGCCTACTTGAATCCATGGTAATAACGGTGAGAGCTAAGTTCTGAAGGCTGGCCAGAACTTGACAATAAGCCTTCCAGGGGTACCCGTGGAAAAACTTTCCATGTGGCGGCTCAAATTGGATTGCCGATAGCTGAAAGGCAAAACCAAATGTTAGAATACTCCAGAATGTGCCGATCGATAGTGTGCAGGAGATGATGTTTACTCACATGTTTGACTACATCAGCTTGGCAGAAAAGGATGTCGCTGCAAACCGTCATTACACTGCCTGTAGAACTGTTTTCCAGAACGCAGTTTTCCCCACACCTGAGACGAGGATTGAGTCAGCCTAAATTTCAGTGAGGCAGTAATAGTGTCAGAAAAGCAACAGCTCATACCTGTCCAGCTCGGTTGCAACTAATCTCAGTCTACTGACAACAAGTTTGTGGAGGAGGTCTCCAGAATAGGTTGGCAGAATGAAGATGTGAACCAGTCCAACACTTGTGAACCCCAACATGATCATCACCAATCGTGCCAAGGGATAATAGAATTTCTCCTCATGGCGGTAACCCGATAGTATCAAGATGTGAAAGGTGAGAGACATCATGAGAAAGGAATAGCTCCACCTGCACCAAGCCACTGTTAAATCACTGACTCACAACAAATAACAAGACTAACTAAGCATACGGTCTTACGTATCCTTGAACGGCGGCCGATATCTGTAGTAGGTCGGAATCACGCTGCCCAAGAAAACAAGTATCGCCAGAAAGAGAGGCTTCACATCTCCAAGGTGAGGTGTGGCGTGGTTGACACCAAATGCGAGAACGGCTGCCAAGAGTGTACCAGCCGTTCTGTTGACGCCTTTGCTGCACAGCCCAGGAAACTTTATCAGTCATGGTCAAGACCCGCCAAAAAACGGAGAACTGAGCGTCTCGTTCCATTACCCTAGCGACGATCCGACCGTAGGCTCGAACACGAGGTCCACTGTCACCACAGCCCATATTCCTATCTCTGATAGGTCTGGAATGGGATCCTCAAGAACGCAAACCACGGCGGCTAGTGTAGCTGCGATCCCAGATTTGACCCCCAGAGAGACCAGCTTCGGATTAGCTCTGATGTCGGCGATCTGACGAGCTCCAAGCGACCACAAGCGTGTGGCTGGCCATAGGAGGCACGAAACGAAGTGGCTCAGTACATGCATTGCGGAAGCCATCTCGCATCATTTGCAAGTTTGCTGGATTCGTTGAATTTATGATGCTGACGGCCAGTTAAGCTCATACCGTCAAACAGGGAAATCACGAAGCTTCTGGCGTTTGTCTTTGGTCTCCGCAGACTACCACGGACTCTTAGCCACAGAAGAGACTCTGTGTGGCGACGTGGACAACACTGCCAGGTTCAAGCTGCAAACACCTTCCTCGTAAAACGCCTTGACGACCGTTCTTCGTTTGAATGAAGCGCACCGAAACAAATTAACCCAGTGGGATCGAGTGCATCGGCCATCGAACATGTTGGGTGACACGATCACGCATACGTGGTAACGACCGCCTTCCTCTCGAGTCAGCGGGTTCCTTGAGCGCATCAATTGAGAACACATAGAGCACATGGCGCGCCGTTGACTAACAAATAACGAGCGGGAAGAATTCCAGCCTTTGGCATCGAGCTGCCAAGTCCTCGAAAACATCCGCACCCCAGGGGAGAGGAAGAGCATCACTTGGCACGGTTGTGCCTGTTCGATAGCGCGCGTCCAAGTAAAGAGAGGAGTGCTAATTATTTGCAGGACCAGTAGCACAACCCAACCAATCTCTCCAGCTGATTTGCGGGCTCGAAACCCGCCTGGTCCTTTTCTCACCTCTCAAATGTTTTAGCTCATTTTTTTTCCAGTCCCTTTCCCGCATCACCTTTTGAGAGACACACGAAAACTGTATCTGTACCTGAGATGACAGTCGAATTGTCGACCAGTCTCCGAATACCAGTAAAACGCGACAGGAGCTAATGATCCGAACAGGTGCTAGCGAGGGAAGACTGGTGGGCGTTGCAAGACTTGTTGGATGCGATAAGTCCGATTAGCGCGATTTGAGCCGTTCCGAGGCTGGGCGAGTGCGCAGATAATAAAATACGCGGAAATTCCTAAGCTAGGTACTGGAGCGATGAGAGAAGGGGTTTCGGTAGATCCTAGGGACGGATTGCAAGCATCTCAGCCAGCCGTGAATGGCCGGCGAAAGACGTGGAATCGCCCCGAGGCCATCGCAGGAGCCGTCGCAGGCATGGCGACCGTCGCCATTCTTCACCCCCTTGACATCGTGCGAACCAGGTTCCAAGGTTAGTAAGCAACGTCCTACACCACACTCTAGCTCTCTCACCGTCCTTTATCCTCCCACTTCCCTCATTCCTCCCTCCCTCTGTCTCCCGCCTATGTCCTCCCATCACCTCCTCCCGTCCCCGCGCGTCCCGCCGTGCAGTGAATGACGGGAGGGATCCCACAATTCCCCGCTATCATGGCGTAGTCAGTGCCATCACCACCATCTCCAGATCCGAGGTATGGATTTGATTCGTGCGTAATGAAATTCGCTACTGCATGTGTCATCAGTCCCATCGCCACTATCTCTATATCCAAGGAATAGATCTAATTTGAATGTCGTAATAATCGTTACTGCATGTGTCGTTGGTGCCATGCCATCACCGCCATCTCTAGATCCGAGATCTACATTCAGACTTCATTCAGATGTACACGTGTTGGCAGCTGCATGCAGCATCAGTGCCACCCCTGCCGCGTTTTGTGCATCGGAGGTGTAATTCTGAAGGACTGGTTTTGTGTCAACTTCAAAATCGTTAGTTCTGAAAAAACACTTCCCCCTCCCCTCCCTTCCCTTCCATTCCCCTCCCCTCACCTCCCCATCAGGGCATGCGAGGCCTGTATGCAGGCCTCTACCCATCCATGGTCGGCTCTTCCCTCTCCTGGGCTCTCTACTTCTTCCTGTCAGTGTTGCCTTTTATGCCCCAAGCTTTCCTATTGCCCTCCCTTTCCAATGTCTCGCCACTCTTCTCCTAACATTGTTGTCCCTTCTTTGTTTCTTTCCTTTGGTGTTTCCCCCCACCCTGATGTTTTTTTCAACTTCCCCACTTGTTGCGTCTCACCCTTCCCTGTCTTCTTCTCTTTATTCCTGCCGTGTGCCCCCCACCAGCTTTCGTAGTTTTTTATTTGAAGTAATTTCCTTTTGTTTTTCATCTCCCAATCGTTGTACAGGTACAGCCACGCCAAAGATCGGTACACAGCTTACTTCAGTGCTATTACCAGCAGCAGCGGTGGCAACAGCGACAGACAATGGGGAAGCAGTAGCAGCAAGAGTGACAGGAGACACGATGGCAGCAGCAGCAGCAGCAGCAGCGGGAGCAGAAACCGGCCTAGCACAGAGAAGAATAGCATGACCATTTCAATGGAAAGGCTTTCAGAACAACTTGGTGTCTCCACCGTTGCTGCTCCTGATGCTTCTGGTGATCGTGGTGGTAGCAGCGACTGCAGGGAGGACAGATCAAGGGAGGGTTCAACTTCTCGCTCCACCGTTGTTGCTCGTGGTGCTGCAGGAAGAGAAGGAGAATTGTTGATCCAGGTGGGGACTACTGGAAGGGAGCAAGGCGGTAGAGCCGGTTCGGGAGCAGATGCTGATGTGGATGGCAGTGGAAGAGGAGCTGTTGCAGCAGGAGAGGTGGATTCAAGCAGCAATGTAAGGAGCAACAACGAGAGCAGCAAGAGCAGTGGGGCGGTGGAGGTGGAGAGGGGGGGTGATAAGACCTGGAGGTCAACGTTGGTGAACCTGGCGGCTGCCACGGAGACTGGCATTCTGGTATGCGTTTCATGGGCTGCTCTTGCCTTGCTCGCAGCGTGAGCTTGGTTTCGCATGTTGCGTGATTTGTATCTCTCAGGTTGGGCTTTCTGGTGCTGCTACTCGTTTTCCTACAGAAGCCATCTTTTTAACCCCGAGTGTGATTATACCTACCTTGCAAGTGTGATTTCGCAAAAATCATTTTCTTTCCCTCCATTGCCACACTACCCCGCGCTTACCTGCAACCTCCAAACCCCCACAATCTTTCTTTCCCTCTCCTCATCGCACCCCCCTTCGCCCCTCCACCCCACTCGTCTCCCTTCCTCCCCTCTTCTCCTATCCGTACCAAATCTTTTTTCTTACCAAACCCATCCTGGTGACTTGATAGATGACTCTTGGCGCGCCTTGAAAGGCCACACACACTTTGCTCCCCGCCTCTCCTCTGCTCTCATCTCATCCATACCAGGACGTCTCCCTCCCTCACCTACCTCATCTAGCTGATTGTTGCGGCGATATAAGAAGCACCTCGCTCCTCTCCTCCCCTCTGCGCCCCTCTTCCCCTCTGCGCCCCTCTTCCCCTCTGCTTTTCCCCTCCCCTCTGCTACCCTCTTCCTCCCTTCTCCCCTCCTCCTCTCTGCTCCCCCCCTCCCCTCTGCTCCCCTCCTCCCTCTGCCCCCCTCCTCCCTCTGCCCCCCTCCTCCCTCTGCCCCCCTCCTCCCTCTGCCCCCCTCCTCCCTCTGCCCCCCTCCTCCCTCTGCCCCCCTCCTCCCTCTCCACTCCCCTCCTCCCTCTCTGCTCCCCTCCTCTTCTCTTCTATCCTCATTCCAGGTCGTGCTACTCACCAACCCCATCTGGCTCGCCAAGACGCGTCTGCAGCTGCAGGGAGCCGTGGATCCCAAGGGACCTCACCATGCACCACCCCCCTGTGCCGTCAGTGCTACCAGTGCCGCCAGTGCTGCCAGCACCCCCAGCACACAGCAGCCACGCCCACCGCCAGCTGCATGTGCAGCAAGGCCGTCAACAGCAACAGCTGTACCCCATCATCATCCCCGGCAGTACCGAGGCTTTCATGGTGCTTCATGGTGACACTCGCCCTCCTCCCTCCTCTCTTCTAATTCGCCCCTTGTTCCATCCTCTCCCTGCCTCTTCCAATCCCCCTCGCCAACCTTCCCGTCCTTCCCCCCATCCCTGCTCTCTTTCATTCAGCTTTCGAATCCCCTTCCCATGCTGCCACCACCCTCCAGTTCTTGCACTTGCATAATAGGAACTGAACCTGTAAATAATCTGAAGTGTTGAATATGTCTGCAGCCCTTCCTCCCTCTTTTCTCCACCTGTCAGCTGCACATGCTTCAAGGGCGAACGAGGGCAAGAGAGAACTCTACAGAGGCGAAGACCCAAGCCTCATATTTTCCATTTCGCCCATCTTCTCCACAGCCCTACTCGGCCATACGGCCCACTTTCCTCCTTCTCTCACACAGGTCTCGTTGTCTCCCTTTTACTCTTCGTTCCTCTCATTTCTCTTCCTTTCTCTACCCCATCATCCTCTCATCAGATGCCATATGGTCTATTGTGAAGGAGGAGGGCTTCAGAGGGCTGTACAGAGGCATCGGCCCGAGCCTCATCTTGGTAAGGCAGAGGGCCAAGCCTCATCTTGGTAAGGCAGAGGGCCAAGCCTTGCCTTGGTAAGGGAGTGGGCCGTGCCTGTCTTACCAAGGCATCGGCCCGAGCCTTATCTTTAAATTGGTTAGGCGTGAGCTTAAGTTGCGGAGGACGCATCTAGCGTCTTAGACGTGGCGTCTAGACGCAGCGTCTAAGTCGCTAGACGCGCGTCTAGGGCTGATTAGACGCTGGGTTAAACGCAACGCAAGCCCGGGCAGGCAAAAAAAAGTACGGACAGCCAAAAAGCCTTCTATGGGGCATGGGGAGGTGGGGAATATGGACATAGCTAACATTTGAGGCAATTTCTTCTTAGGTCTTGATTTTTCCCCCCAATTTTTTTCCTGGCCTGCCCAAAAACTTTCCCCCCTTGCGTCTAGCGTCTACGGGTGTGTTTTGTGTTTAGCGTCTAGACGCTAGACGCAGGACGGTCGTGGCGTCTTCCGCAACTAAGGCGTGAGCCCATCTCAGGCTGGAAGGTAGCCCTTTCAGGTCTACAACTTTCAGGTCTCAGGCTGGTCTCTTGACTTCCATTTTTTTTCATCTCGTGTGTGCTACATCTGATGTTGTACATCCAAGTACCAAGTTCCTTAACATCGGTGATCGGTACTTGTACGTGCTCAACCGACTGACACATATCACCCACCTCTCCTCTCCCTACCCCTCACTACCCCTCCCTCCCTGTCTACTCATGCATATACCCCTGCTTACCCGTCGTCTGCACCGTTCTGTGATCCTTGCTTGCGCAGGTGTCGCATGGGGGCCATTCAGATGGCAGCGTATGAGGAGCTGAAGCAGCTTATGCTGGCTCTCAGATCGCCTGCACCATGGGCAGCACACCGGCCCTGTCCACCACACCCATATACCCCCCTGCACCCCTCTGTAATCCTCACGTCCACAGGTGTCGCATGGTGCCATTCAGATGGCGGCGTATGAGGAGTTGAAGCAGCTCATGCTGGCTCTCAGGTCGTCCACACCATGGGCACCACACGCACCCACCCAACCTTCCTCCTCCTCCTCCTCCTCTTCCCCCTCTCCTGCAATTCCTGCTGTGACAGAGCTGGTCAGTACTTTCACTGCGTTGCACAATTCTTCTACAGTGCTCTTCACTACCCTGCAAAACCAGTTGTCTTTATCAATAAGGTCATCGGGCCGAAAATAAAATAATAAGGAAATTTTGAGGACCTTATCACACTGCTTCACCCAGTCCTCGGCCCTTCAACTCTCCTCCCACCCATCCACCCCAGCCTGGTTTTCGTCCAATCCTCTCCCTCCACCCACCCCTTCCATCTCATTCATTCCCCACACAGTCCCCATGGGACATTGCAGCAGTGGGAGCAGCTGCCAGGCTCTGTTGAGACGTCCGAAAAATCCTTTTCCCCCTCTACCCTTCCACCTCGCTCTCATTCCCCGCACAGTCCCCATGGGACATTGCAGCAGTGGGAGCAACTGCCAAGCTCTGTGCTGCCTCTGCCACCTACCCCTACCAGGTATGGCACCCGCGGACTAGTCTCATTACCCCTTCCAGGTATGGCACTCGCGGACTAGTCTCATTACCCCTTCCAGGTATGGCACTCGCGGACTAGTCTCATTACCCCTTCCAGGTATGGCACTCGCGGACTAGTCTCATTACCCCTTCCAGGTATGGCACTCGCGGACTAGTCTCATTACCCCTTCCAGGTATGGCACTCGCGGACTAGTCTCATTACCCCTTCCAGGTATGGCACTCGCGGACTAGTCTCATTACCCCTTCCAGGTATGGCACTCGCGGACTAGTCTCATTACCCCTACCAGGTATGGCACTCGCGGACTAGTCTCATTACCCCTTCCAGGTATGGCACTCGCGGACTAGTCTCATTACCCCTACCAGGTATGGCACTCGCGGACTAGTCTCATTACCCCTTCCAGGTATGGCACTCGCAGACTAGTCTCATTACCCCTTCCAGGTATGGCACTCGCGGACTAGTCTCATTACCCCTACCAGGTATGGCACCCGCTGACTTGTCAAAGTGGGTAGGTTTTCGCGGTAGGTCGTGATTTGACTTAGCTTGATTGTGAGGCACACCAGCCAAGCCAACATGCCCAAACGTCCTCTGCATTACTCTCGCCCCTCCCCTTCTGTTGCGACAAGCCAAACCCCACTTTCAAATTCTCTCTTTTTTGTTTGAGTGCATGCGCACGCAGATGCGCGTGTGCATGCCGATATCCTTTTGGTCTCATGCTTATGGTTCCTGGCATCTCAATATCATGCTTGTCCATGCCTTCCTGCTTCCCTGATTTTCCTGTCCCTCACACCCACACCAGGTGGTTCGGGCTCGCCTGCAGGTACTTTCCTTCTCTCTGTATCATTCATCTGCGTTCCCATGGGCCCTTTCCCTGCCTTGCTTCCCACTCCCCACTCGCCACTCCCCATGCTTCGTTTCTCATGCTGCTTACCCTCATCTCTTCGCCTCCGTTTCCTTTACATCCTCGCTCCCTTCACTTCCTGCCTTCCCTTTCTCTCCCTCCCCCATTGGCATCCAGCCTCCAAGCTCGCCCTCATATCCCTCACGCTGCCATGTTACCAGCTCTCTTCTTCCCAGCCCCTCTCACAAGAATCTGCTTGGCCATGCCCTTTGCAGTGTCATCTTCCTTCTTGCATTATATCCCGCTCTCCTTGCATTGTTTTGGTGTAGAGCCACCCACGTAAGTACCCTCCTGGATTTCACACACTTGCGGTCCCAGTCATATGCTTCTCTACCGTGTTCCAACCACTTGATGATGTTTCAGTCGACTCTAAAGCTTCACACATGCATGGTTCAGCGCAAATGCTCCTTCTGGTTGGTCTGACATCTTAGGGTTTCCGTCTCAAGCACTCTTGCATTTCCCCGTTTCCACAATGGCCCTGTGAATTCAGATGCGTCCAAATGAGGCCGGCCAGCTCAAGTACCGCAACACACGGGATGCCGTCACCAGCATGTGGAGGTGAGATGTAGAAGTTCTGTAGCTACTCATGCGATCAGGAAGGAACACTTGCTTAGGGGCCATGGTGTAGGATGAGTGGTGCATGGGCCACAACCCGTTTCACTCCGGTTTCCTCAACCCTTGTGTATCATGTTTGCTGAACACTTCCAAGATTTGGTTTGTTTGTTTGTTTGTTTGTTTTTTTTTTTCTGTCTCCATGCTCCGCTCTCTCTCCCATCCAGTATATAATGTGTGACTTTGCCTCTTTGAAAGTTTCTTGCTTTACCTGTATCAAGCCATGCTCTCTCATGCAACACTTCATACACTCTCTCATCTTGCTTCTCCACTCATCCCTCTCGATTCTTTGCCTCTCTCCCTTTTGTCTTCCCGAGGCTCGAGAATGCACGTGGCTTTTTCCAAGGGCTTTCTGCCCAACCTATTGCAGCGACTGAGATGCTTTAAACTTATGTTCTCTGTTTTGCCTCTCTCCCTTTTGTCTTCCGCAGGCTCGAGGGCGCACGTGGTTTCTACAAGGGCTTTCTTCCCAACCTGCTGAGAGTCATGCCTTCTGCGTCCATCACGTTCGCTGTTTATGAAGTCATGCTGCGACTTCTCAAGCCACACCCCGTTGCTCCACCACAAGGCAACTACTGATTCTGTCAGAATGTTATTATCTAGCCTGTAGTGGGGTGCTCTATAGCGGGTACAACCCAGTTAGGGTTTGCTAGATGTATCCCAACTGCAGCTAGTGCAAACCTCTCCTTTCTTCATTCTTACTCTCAACTACTGCTAGCTTTTGACATGGTATCAGAGCAGGTCGACCCCCTTGGGTCGATCCTGTGGGTGGGCCCACCACCTAATGCTTCCGCTGCTTTACTTCCTGTCGTGCGCCTCGGGCGCGCGACGACTACTTCCTGCTGCGCGCTCGGGGCGCGCGGCGGTTTTCTGCCCGCCGTGCGCCCCGAGGCGCGCGGCGGTTCTCTGCCCGCCGTGCGCCCCGAGGCGCGCGGCGGTTTTCTCCCCCCGTCGCCCGCCGAAGCGCCCCCGGGGACCCGCGCGTCGCCCCCGTCGCCCGTGCGCGGCCCGTACTGCACGAGCGCGGCCCGTACAGGCTGCGCCAGGCCCGCGCGCGGCCTGTCCTGCACGCGCGCGGCCCGTACGGGCTGCGCCAGGCCCCCGCGCGGCCCGTACAACCCGCGCGCTGCTCGTACGGGCTGCGCCAGGCCCGCGCGCGGCCCGTACGGCCTGCGCCAGGCCCGCGCGCGGCCCGTACGGCCTGCGCCAGGCCCGCGCGCGGCCCGTACGGCCTGCGCCAGGCCCGCGCGCGGCCCGTACGGGCTGCGCCTGGCCCGCGCGCGCCTCGGGCCGCCCGCGCGCGGTTCGTACGGGCTGCGCCTGGCCCGCGGGCGCCCTGTCTCCTCTGCTCCTGAGCCGCACGCCGTCCCTCGCGCTTCTAACTGCGCCCCACCCCTGCTGTTGCCCATGCTCCTGTGTTAGGGTTTGGGGGTGGAGGGTATGGGGGTGCCGTGTGTGTGAGCCGTCCCCTGCTCCTCCTCCTCCGTCTCCCGCTGCTGCAGCTGCCGCTGAGGGGGGTGGATGTGTTGGAGCCGTCGGAGTGGTGCTAGGGGGGTGACGTGGGAGTGGAGTTAGGGGTTCAGCAGGGGGTGTGTGTCAAGGGTGTGGGTCAGTTGGAGGAGGTTGTGTGGAGGTAGCTGTCGTGTCGCCTGCAGCGCCTGTAGTCCGTCGCCCTTGCTTCGGTAGCCAGTGAGCCTGTTGCACCAGTTGCCAGTGGGTCCGTTGCTCCTGCCGCTCGTCTTAGCCGCGGAGCCAGTCACTCCAGTAGTCCGTCGCCCTTGCTTCGGTAGCCACTGAGTCAGCCGCTCCTGTGCCCGTGCCTCTGCAGCTTCAGTCGTTGCCTCCCATCTTCTCTCCTTCCACAGTTCCTCCTCCTCCTCACTTGCCCGCTGTGATTACCTCTAGCTTTGCTTATTATTGTGAACTCCTGCTATGCTTGCTTATTGTGCTGATTACACCCCACTTTGGCTATGGGGGTGTGTCAGAATGTTATTATCTAGCCTGTAGTGGGGTGCTCTATAGCGGGTACAACCCAGTTAGGGTTTGCTATATGTATCCCAACTGCTGCTAGTGCAAACCTCTCCTTTCTTCATTCTTACTCTCAACTACTGCTAGTGTTACGAATAGTAATATTTGATATTACTGTGCACTCCTCACCGCAGCAAAGAGAAGCAGGCAATATCGGGAATGAACGCGAAGCGTCAGACGGTTGGAATTGAACCGAAGAGTCAGACGGTTACAGCGCATCTGGACCGTCGGAGCAGACGGCATCGGGCAACCTCAGGCAGGATGGTTTTGGCGGAACAGTTACGAAACTGTACGCACCGCACGGTTGGGAATGAACTTGAATAAGGGAATGTACCCCTTAGAGTACATGGCTAATTAGGTCGTTCCGCATTCCCTCCCCTGTACTCATATTTATATTTCCTGTATTTGCATGTTTTAATCATCTCAAGCATTTACATTCACTCTGCTATTGAGGTCAAGGGCCCACCAACTATTTCACTGCGTGCGAACCTTCCTGGGTAGATCCTGGGCTACGATCAATTTCTGATCGCAGCATGGTATGAGAGCGGCTCAGGAATCCTTCGCACTGCCACTCCCGAAAATTGCGACATTCGGAAAGTGGCGTCCGGCACACGCTCACGAGTGAAGATGGCCGGAGGATCTGGTGGTCAGACTAATCTGACGGCTGAAGCGCAACCCAACCCGGCTGCGACAAGCGAGAACACGACGACAATCAACTCCGAAGATTTCGCACAACTTCTTCAGCGACTCACCAGCTTGGAGCAAGGACTCCAAACATTGCGGAATGGCGATGCGGGAACATCCTCGCAACCCTCTCAACCGGCCCCGACTGGCCAGAACGCCACCCCGCAAACTTTCTCCCTCGACACCAATGGCTCAACCCCCAAGACTCCCCGTCCCAGTGAAGAGGCAATTCTCTCCGCTCAATCAAGGTTTCTCAGCATATCAAAAATAAAGACAAGTACCTGTTTTGACGGCAGAGACTTTTACACCTGGAGCTTCGAGCTGGAGCTCCTGCTTCAGAACGCCCAGATCTTTCCACTATTTCGACGGGAGTTACGCGGAGCCTGCTGAGGACACCGACGACGCCAAGGCGCGGTATTACAACGAGTCGCTGATGGCGTACGGGGTGCTCCTGCGGAACATGTCGGCGGCGGAGCAGCTCAACATTCGTTCATACAAAACCACAGCTGCTCCAGCCCTTAACGCCTGGCGGCACCTGACAGGAGTCTACCAGCCCAAGGACTCTGTCTCTTCGAGCCGACTGCTCCAGGAACTCCTGGAAACCAAGATGACCGCAGGGGAGAAGGTCAACACTTACCTTAATCGTTGCCGGAGCCTTCGCGATCAAATCGTGAAGTTGGGAAGCACGATTTCAGAGGAAATCTTCGTCAACATCGTGCTTCAAGGGCTCGGCCCAGAGTGGCGGCCCTGCAAGGCGCTTCTCCGACAGCAGGGGGTCATCTCGGAGGCCGCCCTTTGCGCCGCCCTTCTCGTCGAACAGAGGGATATGGATCAGCAGCGACCTGCGCCGCGACGAGAACGCGAAAGGCTCGCCTTCTACGCCGACAACACTGAAGAGCGAAAGCCACGGCGCCTCTACTGCAAAATCTGCAGAAATTTCGGGCATCTGGCGGATCGATGCAAGAACCGATCCCGCCCTCGCCAGACCAATCCGAGCACCTGGTCCGGCCGTCAAGACGCACGAGGCGACGTGCGTCCTGCCCAGGGGTATCAACCCCCTCCCGCGCGCAACCTGAACCCAGCGGTTCAGCATCAGCAGCAGCAGCCGTCACCGACTGCCCCAGCCCGCAATGTCATGAGCAACATGGCCATGACAGGCGAATCGCGTCGTCGCCGTGTCCGCTCGCCTTCACCTGAGCCGGCACCGCACCCCATTGGCGCATTTACTAACAACAACCCGTTCAGCCCGCGCCACGATTTCACCGACGACGACGACCAAGACTGGAATCTTCCAGTCCCGCTGCTTGAAAGTCCCCCGCACGTACCTGATATGCGGGTGGCGCCACTTGATTGGCTCTCGCGCGAGCAATTTTTGAAGTTCGACACTCCGCACATCGTCACGCCGCGACTGGCGCTGCTCGCACGTGACGACAACAAGCGCTACAACACCTGGTACCTGGACAGCTGCTGCGGCCAGCATATGGTGGGCTCCGAGCGTTACATATCCAACGCCGTCCCCACCCCTGCCGTCACCTACGTCACCGTGGCGAACAATACGCGCCTGCGCGCAAGCGCGCAAGGCATCGTCGTGCTCAAAGCACGTGGAAGCCGCACGCACATCACGCTCAACGATGTGCTGATCGTCCAGAACCTGCGCTTCAACCTCCTGTCCGCCGCACAGCTCATGGACTGCGGCGTCGACCTCAGCACGGACCGCGCGACGCGAGACATCCTGCTGCACTATGAGGCGCGCAACTTCCCCTGCAGGCAGATCGGACGAGCATACTCCGAAAATGGAGTGTATGTGCTAGATTTCGACATTCCCGACTGCAGCGGCGATTCGCACGGGCTAATTGATCTCGTGCCACTCCGCTTCGAGCACATCCACCGCAGGGATTGGAAGCACCCTGACGGGAGGCCGTGGGTACCGCATCATCCCCACCCACGCGAAACGGCGCTGCACAACCCCGATCCCGATGGGATCTGCAGGGACTGCCACACGCCGACGACATCAACGAGCGCGATCGCCGGCCGCGGACTCGCTGCCATTGCAGAAGCAGAACGACAGGGCCACCAGAGGAAGGGATGTCGCAGCTCGAGCTCGAGGTAACCACCCACGCCGTCTTTGGCACGACAGAACACCCTCTCGTCGGCCCCCCTTCACAGCACCTTCAAGGAATGCTGCGCGGAACTGGGATCGGCACCTTCGACGCCCACGGCGAGCCGGGATCTTACACCCGCGAGAAATTCCTGGAAATTTACTCCCATCGCCGCGACTCATCAAAGAAACTCACCGTGGATCAAGAGGAGAAACTAGCGCGCCGCGAAGCCGAGGAGCTTCGCCAGCAAAGCCTCGCGGAAGCCCGCGGGACCTTCGCTTGCGCCGCCTGGGGAGCTGAGGAAGAAGCAAGCGCCTCCAATGAAGGGGGATGGGGAAGAACTGAAGGCTGGGGAACAAGCGACACCGGCGGATGGGGAGACAACGGCGGAACCTGGGCCAACGCGAGCGGCGGATGGGGCGCCGCATCTGGCGCCGACAATAGCGGCTGGGGCACTTCCCGCAAAGAACGAAGGGGGGAAGAGGAAGAAGCCGCGGAAACCGAAGCAGCACCTGCAGTCGTTCCTCTCGGTCGTCCCCCGCGCCACATCCCGCTCGCACCACCTCCTGCAGACATTCCCCCGCATCGCGACCCGTGGGACACCATTATCTGGGGCAACGAGCCGTCAACCCCGCGTCGCACTGTCTACGGACCTGCCCCTGAACCACGCCAACCTACCCTTGTCCCTGGAACCATCCCTGGGACTAACATCCCGCTCTCTGAAATTCGCGACAGAGAGTTCTTGGCGTTGATGCTGACTACCGCGGC